TGTTATATTATATAGTAAGTATCACATTTTGGGCTCGCACTTGTGAGTGCAAATACCATTTCTCTGTAAAATTCTGACCTTCACAATCTTTTTAGATTCGCCAAAAAGATAGGAGTCAACATAAAAGATCTCACAAAGCCGCACTTCCCACAAACGGTAGAAACTAAAATATTAACTATAAATATAAGTGAAACTAGTACAGAATTAAACACTGATGTTTGTACACTAGAACTAATAATCAACGCATTCAAACAAAAGAAATATGAAGACAATGTGATTACGTTCTGTAAACCCGTTTATTCTGTTGCTGTGCAAAATGTGGACCAACTAAAGGAGGGTACGACTTTGACAGGTAAAACATATGAAATCACTTTTTTATTATTACTAATCTTATTGAGACACCAACACCAATGTTGCCACTTTATGAAAATTAATAATTACTATTACTAGAAGAAACAAAATATAAATAACTATGAACTAAAATATTTACACCTTAAAAAAAATAAAAATGCTATCAAATAAGGCATCAAAAAAAATTTTTCCTCATCGCTATCGTGAGGTAGGGTGCCCAGAAGATTTAATCTTAATTCTCATTCGTACCTTTCACCAGTCTACAATATCTTGAGTTTCGTGATAGTAACTCTAGTGATTTTTTAAACCTTGTCCCACTCTACGATTTTCTCCTGTGTCGTGGGTGCGTTTATAAACATATAAGTTTACATACACACCCAGACCCGAAACAACCATTTGTGGATCACACAAAAAGCCATAGCGCCAACCGTTCAGTCGTTTGTTTTAGAGACTTTGACAATTACAAAAATGTATCAACGAAACCGGCAACGTACCTACAATAATAAGTAGCTAATTTATTGTTCTAGGTGTCGTCCGCAATGTGGTTCCTTTCGGCTGTTTCGTCGACTGCGGCGTGGGAGACAACGGCCTCATCCATCGAAGCAACTTGGGTGGACATCAGACACCTAAACTCGGGGACAGGGTGGCGGTCACCGTAATATCGTCACCAAAACCCAAGAAAATCCAATTAAGATTGGACAAGATCCTTAACTAGACTGATACCAGTATGTATCTTAAGTTATTAATATTGTTGATTCAGTAAATCAGTTTTCAAATATAACTGTTTATTTCATTAAAATAATATTAATAAGTATTAATTAATTAACAATAATCATTCCGCTTCCATGATCGGGGACTGCTTAGCATTGAGGCCGAAATTGTGGAACACTGCCTTGTTGACAATAGCATCGCAAATTCCAGAAGTGACTCTGAAAATAAAAATAAATATAGGTACTAGAAATAATCACATTTCGATTACGTGAATTAGCTAACTGTTTACTTATTTAAATATAGTTTTGTCATTCCCAAACTTTATTGATTAAAGGTGAATAGTTTGTTTGTTTGATCGCAGTAATCTTTGTAACTACTGGTCCGATTTGAATAATTCTTTTGTGTTGGATAGTGGATTTATCAAGGAAGGCTATAGACTATAAAACATCACGCTACGATCAATAGGCGCCGAGCAGAACGGGAGAAATCGCGCGGAACATCTAGCAATTTGATAAATTAACGTCTTCCATACCTTCGACTCAACTTTGGCTTGATCTCCCTTGTGTACCCTCTCATAGTTTGTTCATAAGTCGGTATTTCCTCTTTGGAGTAGTATTCTATCTGGCATTTAAACATTTTACTGTGCATGGCGTCCCTGTAAATCCATAACAAAAAAAAATAAGTGAGAAAGAACAATAGCCAAAGAGTTTGGAAAATGGACCTTATATTAGACCCGTTTGAGTTTAAATCTTGTAAGATAGAATGAAACTACGTTACCATAAAATTCCGTCGATAATTCTAAGTATATCGGTGACAGTCATACTGTTGCTTGTTGTCGGACGTTCCTTATTCAACTCGGTCAAGTCTGATGCCAGTAAATCGTATGGAGGTGGCTGAAAGTAAAGCGTTCAGGTTTAGTCAAAGTCAAAATCATTTATTTCAATTAGACCAGAAATTAGATACAATAAAATAGAAAGCACTTTTAACAGTCAACAAAAAAAAAGGAAGCTTATTTGCTCATTCCAAGGTGTAAATTCCTATGGAGAAGAACGAGCAAGAAACTCCATAGGTTACTGTTTTTCAATCAGGTTCACAATACAATTCTCTAGTTACATAGCTAAAGGTCTGCGAACCATGAATTCAGTAAAAGAGTGAAGGGAAAAGAAAGAAGCCAATGTTTTAATTTTAATTGATGGATTTGGTTAGCAATGATGTCTAATATCTAAAAGGAAATTAAGTGAGATGACAATTCCATTCTCATGTGCTTTTTCCCGACTACGGCGGAGCCAAAAGGAGGATTATGACTGGTATTTATGCATGTTCATCTGTTCCCTCCTAACATTTAAACTACTGGTCATAATTTGATAAATGGAGTATCGTTAGTCCGCTGGGTATAACCAGCTTAATTAGCTTATCTATATATGTATATACAAATGAATCCCTTTTTCCCTTGGTCACGGCATCACGCGTCAATGGTTGGACCGATTTCACTAATTCTTTTTTTGTTTTTTAATAGGAGAATGACTTAAAATAAATCGTGAAAATCCTACGGGAACGGTAGAAAACATGATTGCGCGTACGAAGTCACGGGCAGAAGCTAGTTTCATTTAATTTTATGTAGCCCATAGGCTAAATTGCATATGGCGTCGGCTATAGACCAAAAAATCATAGTAACTACATTATAATGTTAGGTATACGACCACGGCAATCCTCTGAACATCATGCAATGTAATTTATAAATATAGTTTTGAAATAAAAAAAATCTTGTATTGGCTTCAGGTTACCTGTTGCCACATTTGTCTTAACAGCATTCTCGGGTATCCATCTCGCTGGCCTTTCGAAGACACTGACACCGTCATTGCCAAGTAACTTGGTTGGGGATATTCTAAATCCAGCACATACGGCGGCGAATCGTTTATACCCTAAAGTTAGGAAATATTCTAATTTATGTGTTGTAACTTTCGTGAGACATACTAAATAAATTATTATGTTTTCGGCTTACTCACGTGGTAATTTGACGAGGAACTCGACCAGTTTCAAGCCATGCTAGAGGCTCATATTCATGAGCAGCATTTCGCGACCGACTGTCGCGCTGCTACTGGCTACTCGAGTCTGCGGGCCCAGCGCGCCCTCTGCCGTGATTCACGCGCACTTTCTTCTATTCGTGGTATCGGCGACGGCGGCGCGCGTGGCACTGTTGGCACGCTTTTTTTTCTTTTTTAAGGGGGGAAAATCATCGAATGACTGCTCGCGCCTGTCTGGCGTTGTTGGGTTCGAATCCCGGGTCGACGCAGAAACAGTGTTACATACCGCGCTCACTGTGTCGAAACTAGTCGAGTTCCTTGTCAAATTACTACGTGAGTAAGCCGAAAACATAATAATTTATTCTAATTTATATTAAAAATTTCGTGAGACATTCCTATTAAATTATTAATTATTTTTCGGCTTACACACGTAACTGTGGTCGCCGCGTCGATGGTCGCGAAATGCTGCTCATGAATATGAGTCTCTAGCATGGCTTGAAACTGGTCGAGTTCCTCGTCAATCAGTTACGTGTATAAACGGAAAACATAATAATTAATATTCTCGTTTCATTAGGAACTAAGCTTTATCAAAAAAGAAATAAAGGTTATTTCTGAATGTTAGATACAATTAAGTATAATAACTCACAGGGTGGAACATTCCTTGTTCAGTTATAATGAACTCTTGGTTACATTTTTCGATTTTGTTTCGCCTCTGAAGTTTATTTTGTTGATATATCTTACGATTTGTCAAATCTAAAATCTCGCAGGCGACAGTCGTCCTGTTAATATTACACAAAATATCCAACAGAACTCGAATTTATTTTTATTCTATTTAATCAATCCAGAGACAAAATAACAAAGGTCTTACCTAGTTCATTTGAAAAAAATATTACCACTTATTTAAAATGATTACGAAACAAAATATTTATGTTGTCATACGTGAATGTTGCAGGCTCCTGGAGCGTGTAGGCAGTCATTGTAATCCATTCGGAACTCTTGGGCTGGATCACCCCCCAGCATGGCGTCATCACAACGTTCAAGATATTCGCTATTCTTTCTCTACAAATATAAATATATACTTAAATGTAATTACCTAAATGTGTTGAAATGGCCGTATTGTTGATAAATAGTACCTAGTCAAAAATGAACAAACAGATTAACAGATAGATGTTAGATACCTATATTAGGAGTCATAGTACCGTGCAAATTGAACTACAACTAAGAATTAAACAGCGATGTATAAAGCATCTAAACTACACTTATTCATTTCTATCTAAAATGATATTTGATCAAGAAAATATCAATTAGGTAGGTAATATAATACGCTTTTCTTCTACTTACGGTAGCCAAATGAACCTCATAATGTGGTCAGTGTCGTTGTAGATGCTTATTATATCCCTAGACAAGGAGTGCGTCGACATCACCGGTAGTGTCAGATGTTCCATCGAGAGATATACCTGAGCAAAATCACTACATGTGTATATTATACGCCATACTACATACTATAAAACAAAGCCGCTATACGCCGTCTGTCTGTCCCTAATTCCCTATGTAGGCTTAGATCTTTAAAACTACGCAACGGATTTTAATGCGGTTTTTTTAATAGATAGAGTGATTCTTAAGGAAGGTTTATACCTATGTATAATACATGCATATTGCACCATTGCAGTATAAGGGCCGATTATTCCAAAGCCAGATAAACTTTAACTGAGGAATAACTCTGAATATTTGACTATTCTTCCATACTAAAAACTGTCAAATGTCTATTTTATTCTGCAGTTAAGAAATAACTGATGATTGAAAATTAGACCCTAAATACTCTTCGAAATATGTCAATAACGTGCGATGATGAACTCATTTTCTATCCCGTAATTATATAATTGGGTATATTTCTATTACTTATAATATTTCTCCTTTATAGTTTTTAGGCAGACTGCCTCAAGGGTTCAATTCCCGGGTCGGGCAACGGGGCAATATTAATACTGGGTTTTTTAAATTCTCGGTTATAGCACGAACTCTGGAATTGTGTTCGGTATATGGCAATAGGCTCACCCCCTATTATATGGGACTCATAACATAAATAGTGAAAAGCGGGTGTTACATTGTACAGTGGCATAATGTGCACCTCTGCCTACCCCTTTGGGGATAAAAGGCGTGATGTTATGTTATGTTATACTCTTCGAAATATGTCAATAACGAATTTTTCGTGCGATGATGAACTAATTTCTTTCACATAATGATTGAGGAGAAATATTGTAATAAAAATATACCCTAATTGGGTATACCCTAATTGGGTATATTTTTATTACAATATTTCTCCTTTATAGTTTTGAGACAGACTTTAAGGAGAATTGACAACTTTAGTAAAAAAACACGATATTTCTTACCACTTCTTGCCTGTGCGCCTCTCTGATGATCCGTTCAACATATATTGGAATGTCCAGTCTGGTCTCGATACAATTTGGCAGACCTCCTTGCCCTTTCACTTGAATCCTTTCATTTTCGTAGCCGAAGGAACAGAGGAATATCACCTACAATATTTAATCATTATCTATGTATTTACATAATCTTCAATTTCCATTTTTTATGGCATAAGCCGGTAAACGAGCAGACGGATCACCTGATGGTACGCAATCGGCGTCGCCCATGGACACCTGGAACACTAGAGACGTTACAAGTGCGTTGCCGACCTTTTGGGTATTAGGAGTTTGAGGATCGATGGGGATTCAGGAATTGGGGAAATTGGGGAAGGGGAGGGTAATTGGGCCTCCGGTAACCTCACTCACACGACGAAACACAACGCAAGCGTTGCTTCACATCGGTTTTCTGTGAGGCCGTGGTATCACTCCGGTCGAGCCGGCCCATTCGTGCCGAAGCATGGCTCGGTGTGGGACACTTATACGTGCAACGCTTCGGTTGATTTTTAAAATACCTAGAAGGAGCTGTTTCCTCGTTTAGGTCCTTTAATAAAGTAGGAATACCTAAAACTAGCAAGCTTCTATATTTCTAGTAATTATTTGTCTTACCTCATAATCTATCATTTCCGTGGGCATAAAAGCAAATGGTATGGCTAGTTTTCCAAGGGGCGGTACTTCAGCAAAGTAGAGCAAACAACGGATCACAGAATCTGGGTTAGTGTTACCACGAAGTAAACGCCAAGTAGTGAACACATCAGTAGGGTTGTACAGCCATACAATCTAAAATATGCTTCGCGATTAACAAAACGTTTTCTTAATAATCTTCGGGAGTAATTTATCTTAAAATATATGGAAATCCATATTCAAAATCCAAACATCGCGACCCTAAAACAGTCTTTCGTAAATTTCTTCTGGCAACATTTTGCAATGGTTCCTTCTAAGATAGGTGATGAACCTTCTTTTAAACTTATCAACGTAGCGTAAACATAAATTAGGTACATTAATGAGTAGTAAAGATAATGCCTAAAAAAGTTATAAAAATATGATATGGTGTTCCTATATCCTTCCGATCCTTCATACCAGAAATTCTCCTTCAGCCAAAATAATAAGAATTACTCACCCTTATAACTGGATCCAGGTTATTAATGGGCACTCTACCACAGTCCAGTACCGCCAAATACTCGCCAACTCCCACAGGACGACGCAATGGCGTCAGCAATCCTCTCGTGTTCAGATACGCGTAAATGTGAACGTAGATATAAATTGTTCTTTGATTCGGCATTGTCATCACATAGCACAGTGTGTTCAAACCTTTACTAGAGTAGGTGAATTTTAGATACAGCAGGTTGGGATTGTCAGGCTACAAAAATATCTTTAAATAAGTTAGTTTTGCTATAGAGTCCCGTATAGACTGTTACATCAGACGAAAATAAAAAAAAACTTTATCTTAGCAGTGTTAAAAATGGCTATGAGAAATTACCGAAACAATCCCGCTTAAGGGGTACAATTCCACCAGCTGCCTATGAGGGCAGGTGTGTCTCATTTCGTACTTTGAAGTCGCTATTTTCACTTGTATCATATTACAGTCACAAATCTTCTCTCTACGGAGACTCCAAGGCACAGGAACTTGGTACACACAGCCCATTACAAATACCAGCTCGACGTGATCAGTTCGGACACATAAATCAGGAGCGTAAATATTGACACCGATTGGATTATTTGGGCGACAGTCCACAAAAGCCTGATTAAGTCTAGAAATGACAAATAATATTTATAAATTGTAATGAAATAGACAATAACTTCCCAAGGACTTGAATGGGGGTATCGGGCTACTGAAAACGGGTAGAAGCTTCCTCTCATGGCATTTGAACTATTGGACTCATTAAAAGTGAAAAAGATAAATTCTTACGTACTCTTCAACATTGACGATATTCCAGACGCAATGATTACTGAGAATTACTGGACATTTATTTGATAGTGTGCGCTTCACCTGAAACCGAGTTGTTTTTCATTCAAGATAGAAGTTATTCTATCTTACTGCTACCAATTTCCCATTATATTCTATCTTCTGGTCACACAATGTCCGTGGAGGGATGTAGATACTTTTTACTATATACATATATACTTACCTTAATTGTCGGATAAATCCCATCGTAAAAAATGGTACATATCTTAGTCATAATTGGCTGTATCTCCTCAACTTCATCATTTTCCGTGCGGTAGAGGACAGTGTACTTGATACGGAGTCTCCGTGATCCGGCCCCGTCAGGAGTCACCGTCATTTTAACGGTGCAGTGATTCGATGGTTTCAAACTATTCTGTTTGGATAAAGATATTTGTAAAGTAAAAATCTTACAATGCTTCTTGCTTTTTTAACTATCGAATGCAGAAAATTAGTTGGTTTAGAAACTTTTCGTAAAAAACACAAAAGAACTCACCACTGATGAATCGATTTCAAGTCTATCGCCTGTATAGTCGTCCCCCATACCTTCAATAGTGTGGTACAACTTAGACGTAAAGTAACAAGAGCCATTGTTGTACAAAGTCACGGGAAACGTGACGCTTTCCCCGACAACAACATCATGGAGATTATAGTCCTTTGGCAAGATCTGCAGGACGCAAAGGAAGACGTTGCAAGTGTGTATCGACTTAAATGTTCACTCTTATTTCATTTACTAACCCTCAAATCAGGAAATTCCGAAAAGCCAGAAATGGCGATAAACACTTCAGTCGGTTCCCCGACCGCCCTAAAATAATGTGGCTTTTTAAAACCATTTTTAGATAATTATGGAGTATTGGTTCAATATACACGAAAAGAAAGAAATATAACAACTCACTGTCCTTTAATCAAGCAGACGCAAGTTAAAGTTATGGTCGTTTCATATACTTTGTCAGGGATTTTGGGGAAGAACCACCAATGAAAATGTATGATTTCTTTGGGTGGGAGAATTAGAGATCCGCAGCTATCGGCTCCCATCCAGTCGACATTACATAATACTCGTATACTAAAATTAACACAAGAATTAAATGGTGCTTTACCTAAAATGTTTTTACGACATTATAGCGTAAGGACATATTGGACATACTGCATTTCCATCCGAGTGAGGTTGTGAAGGTATGACGTGCAATAGTTGGTGCAGCCAGTGATCGTAGGAGGGAACTCCAGCATCGCATGCGTTGCTGGATGGTAACCATGGGACATTACCTCCACTTGACTCATTTCTGCGTTACCCGTGAAGCTGATAGATGTCTGTTCATATAACAAACGATACAATGTTTTTTAGAGTAGATATAATTTTTTAATCTGTTTTTGTGACCGACAACGCGAGAAGAACGAAGAATTAAAAGGCACCTTCAGTAGGTGTCACGTAATTTATGTACCTACTTTATTATTATAACCGACTTCATGTAATCTGAAGACTGCCTCGTTGGACCAGTGATCGCAAGTGCGACTGCCGGGCAAGGGGTCTCGGGTTCGATTACGACACAATCGACGATTACTGGGTTTTTAAAATTCTCAGTAGTAGCACGGAGTCTGCAATTGTGACCGGTATTTGGCAATGGCTCACCCCCTATTACCTCCTCAAAACATAAATAGTGAAAAGTGAGTGTTACATTGTACAGTGGCATAATGCACATCTCTGCCCTACCCCTTCGATGATAAAAGGCGTGATGTTATGTTATGTAATCTGAAAACTCTAAACAAAACAAAACAAACTAACCTTTTGCACCTTGTTAATAATAAGGTCCCACGCTTCGCAATAATCACCAAAACATTTTGGTTCCAAACCTACTGATATAATCTGCCATCCGCGGCCCGGAACGATTCCACAAACTGGCATTACGACGAAATTCCTTTAAACAATTATTCAAAGTTATGAGAAGAATCAACTAAAACATACATTTGCATTAGCTAAATAAAAAAAATATACATTTAATCACTTTTAGGAACTAGTAAAGACTAAAATGTTACTTACGTGCCGTATGGTGGATCGAATTTAAAATGCATAGGAATTTCAAACTTGTTTGACAGCATGAAATTAGCGAAAGTGGACCTAGTTGGTACTGTTGGTGGCAGAATTACCTAGAGACAACAGCAGTTGATAAGTACTTAGTGCAAACGTCAAGGAAATTTCATTCGAATACGTAAACGTTAATACCTCAGAGGGACAATCCCATTCCGTCACCCATTCGGTACAAGGCATCCACGTGTTGCCCGTACACGGAATACGAAACAATGAGTGCTTCAGTCTGATCTCATCAGTAGCGCTTACAAATTTTTTGACCTGATAGTCTCCGCACATGAGGTACCCATAGACTTCATTCTCAATTTTAGGCCTAATAAACAACATTTGCTAAAGTGCGTGAGTTCAAAAAAGGTTTAAAAATACCAATAAAATTCACACATACCTGTATCTGACAGTAAACAGTCTTGATTCATTTGGAGGTATGATAGAAGCGATTGGGTCTACTAAGAATATGTTATCAGGATCTGAAAATTGGTTCATTAAGTAACTTGATATCAGTGAGTAACTATGACCGGTATACGTTTACTTGACTCATTTCAATTTCAAACACAAGATACTAATGTTAAAAACCAAACCTGGCATCCATTGTATATAGCCCTCTTGGTCTTCATGATTGGTGACACAAATTGTTTGTGATATGTTCCTGGTGGTATCCGTAACACTGCCCGTACCGAAGTCAAGGTATCTTTCAAACACCGTAGCAGACGGTATATAAGTCAGTCGGTTCAGACTATTCTCCATTAAATGGACGGTGCGAGACTTGTGCTTCCAATTCTTCACAAAAACATGCTCTCGGATACTAAGTAATGGGTTTCCAGGTAAAACGACTGTCGCATACACATTCAAGAATAAGGGATGCTGAAATTACGCGTAGACTGCGTTAAACGTATGGACAATAAAGTAATGGGACCAAATTAGATTCATCATAATGGATTAGAAAATTGCACCGTTTATTCTATCGAGTCATTTGAAGAACTGACAGGAAGAAAACTGCGAATAGTGCGATGCCAGTCTATTGTATGGTTGTATAGGTAGGTAGCAATTTAGTTTTCGCAAACCGCTAGTTATTACGTGATACGAATGATGACACCAGCCTCGTAGGAAATATTCTCAAAATAAACCAGATTCAGGTTATTGCACGCACTTCACTAGATGGCACTCTGTAGTCACGTACTACCCATGTGGCCATAATCGTTGTTCAATCATCCATGGGAGAGATGACCATGTTGGATTTTGGATGTATCAGTTTGGTTTATACCCTACTTAAACTGACCCCTGATAAATTTAAATGGTAACGTTAGCTTACCTGATGAAGGACCAAACAGACCAGCTCTCCAGTGTATATTCCAAGAGGTATTCCAGTGAAGATAACCGTAGTTGTTATAGTTTCGAAAGCTCTGATGAGACCACAGTTGCCCGTCGAAATCTAATTGAAATTTTACTTTATAATAGGTGACTTTATGAATAGGTAGGGACCTACTAAAGATGTGTTAATAAAAGGTCTTACTTGGAAACATCCTTGACCAGAAGCAGGCATATACCACTGGTACGTCGTATCCACAGACGATGTGTTCACAATATTGATTACCTCCTTTCTTTGTTCCGTTACATTTTTACAAATTCGAAAGACCAATTTCTTTTTATCTAGCTTTACTCTTGGACCTATGAATAAGAAATGCGTATGTATCTATGATTTATTTGTTGAGCAGTAAGCCTATAAGAATGGTAACATTGAATGATTAAAATATTCTTTGTATTTCTCTTTAGTAACTAAAGTAAGACTGCCTCATTGTCCGAGTGGTCGCAAGTGCGACTGCCGGGCAAGGGGTCTCGGGTTCGATTCCCAGGTCGGGCAAAGTATTACTGGATTTTTCAAAAAATCCCAGTAGTAGCACGGAGTCTGGAATTGTGCCCGGTATATGGCAATAGGCTCACCCCCTATTACATGGGACTCATAACATAAATAGTGAAAAGTGGGTGTTACATTGTACAGTGGCATGTACACCTCTGCCTACCCCTTCGGGGATAAAAGGCGTGATGTTATGATGTTATGTAACTAAAGTATAGGCACCTATTGTTATCAAACAGAGAGTTGGAACTATTAGAATGGAAATATATTATCATTTCGTTATCTCACCATAGCTTCTTCCTGTGACAGTGAGCCTATAAGTATTGCCACTGGTGTCATCCACAAGATAGTATTCAGTGAACGATTGCCCCACAATGTTGGGTTTGAACACAATCTTGATTCGAGCAGCTTCACCCGGCTGCACATAGCTCGACGTTATGGATATTTTGAACACATGATCCACGCTGTTCAGAATATAGATATTTGACACCCTGTATGTTAGGCCTTTCTGTAATATAATAGCAGATCTTGTGTTAGGGGCCTAGAATCTATGGGGGAGGGTAGGAGTCCTAAATACCTAAGAAAATGCCGTTGGCGCAATGTGCAATCATAACATAATTTACATTTATTGTGGGTAAACATGCAGAAGTTAACTTACATCAGTAGTATTTTCAATGCCTATCGTTTTCTCCACAGCAGTATCTACTGGAATACTCCCAAAAGCTACTAATTTAACATCAGATATATTTTGGTCAAATATATCCAGGGTTTGGTTGTTATTACATAGCGTTGTCATTTTTTACTTCGTCGTGCTTGCCTTTTATAACCTGATAAACAATCGATATTAAATCATAAATGTTTTATTTATACTGTTTATCAGCCAGTCGGTTACGTAAAATTCAAATAATTGATTGTAAAATTTGATTCAACATTGCTATTTTCATTTTCAAGTTGGACTTTATTTTTAAAATTAGCGCTAACCCCAGACCACAGATAGAATAACTTGAAATAGCTACCGAAAAACCTTGAATCAGTTTAAAATAAAATGTTAAGAAATTTTCAACTGAATAGTTATTCATCTTAATAATAATTAATGAATTTGAAATATGAGTTAATATGATTATTCATTAGGTATTTTTCTGATTTTTTCTGGTTGATATTTGTTTAGTCGATTATTACGAGTATTGCCATATAGAAAATAAATAAGAACCAAGGGCTTACTCTACGTTTGAGAATAGAAAGAAAAGTAACAACTGTCATTCACGGGTAAATATGAAATTAGGTGTCTCAATCTCAATCGAGTCTCAATCTTATTTATAATATTTTTTTTACTAAATGTGAATACATCGAACAAACAGTAAGCATTTACTACTATTCTATCTTCTAATTGCTTGTGACAAAAAAGTTGCTTTTGCTGTCAACATAATTTTCCTAGAACTCCCATAAAAACTTGCAACCATAATTATTCTGGTTTGTGCAGTAACTGCCATCGGACACATCCTTTGCAACGAACGACTACTTCCTGCTCGAGATGCGTTTATTCTACGTTTATCCAAATTGCAGTGAAGCATAATTTACAATGGATTCTGGAACAGATTGGCTCTGTGAGATTCTACAGAATGTTCAACTTGAACAATTTTATTTACCCATCAGAGATCAGTTGCAGGTATGTCATAGTTTATTCCAAATTCATTTTTACACTTATCCTTGAGTGGTATTCAATAATTGTCAGGTTAATTTACCTGTAAACAGTCTAATTAGTTGAGAACCTATAGTTGAACTCAAAACATCTCATGTTGGCTATTGTTTATGTTTTAGATTACAAGACTAGCGCATTTTGACTATGTGCATGCTGAGGACCTTGAGAAGCTTGGCATCAGTAAGCCTGGAGTGCGCAGGTTATTTGATGCTGTTAGGAAAAAGAAGTTACAGTTATGGAACAGAAAGTTTTGGAATAAATTATTTGGTTCATCATCAAGCTCAGTTTCTAAGGAGAAAACTGATTTAGCAGTGAGAACACCACAGGCAGACTCAAGAACAACTTGTATTATACTTGAGAAGGATATTATGTGAGTACTGGCCTTGTATACTTTCAAAGAATCATAAGGAAAATGATTCACTTCATTATACTAAAGATTTCCTGTAGATAGACAGCATTGATATGTCACTCAAAATGTTATTGATCCAAGATTATTATAAGTAGTCTAATATGAAAATAATTTTCTTATAAGATTGTGCTGTTAATCACAAACCTAGTTGGCTTCAGGCGATAACTTCCTGATTTGAATTAATAGGGATCTAGATTTGGTATAATATGAAATTAAACAAAATTACTTCTGCTTAGCCCATTTATTTGAAATAAACAGTTAGATATTTATTTATAAATTTATGCACAACACAGACAGTATCCAGGAGAACACATTTACAAATAAATTTGAGATACATAGGTACTGCATATTCCTGTAGGAATCATGTTATGTCTAGTTATGTTATGAATCGGAAGATATGTTCAAGGATAAGTGAACTGATGAAGCGATTGTTTTGTTCATGAAAATTGCCTTGTTCTATTTTAGTTATGAGCTTTATGTTAATTAAATAAACTGAAAAAACAACATGATGTCAATACATATTATAATTATATAATAAAGCAAGTCTTAGATGGCTTCCACATATATGTTGTTATAATTTGTAAAGCAGTTAGCTTGCATTGTTATGTAGTTAATAAATATTATGAATGAAACATAGATCAAAGGATTGTGGTGTGACTGTAAATAGCTATTATCTTAGGGAAAATTATAATATTATAACTAATTGACTTATTTTATTGCAGATTGCACAGTGAGATTGGAAATGGGTCTTTTGGTGTTGTGAAGCGAGGAGAATGGAGGGTGTCTGAACACCCATCACAAACAGTTCCTGTAGCAGTTAAGGTGTTAAAGGCAGATGCATTCTCACAACCAGGCATATATGATGACTTCAGGAGGGAAGTAGAGGCCATGCACAGTTTGAAACATCCGAACCTGATTAAACTTCATGGCGTAGTGTTCCATCCGTTGATGATGGTGTGTGAGCTGGCAGCTATGGGCTCTCTACTAGATTATATTGTTGCCCAGAATGGCAAAGTGTCTCTGAACTATATTTACAAATGGTCAGAACAAGTTGCATCAGGAATGGCACATTTGGAGAAGCACAGGTTCTTGCACAGAGACCTAGCTTGCAGAAATATTTTGTTATCCAGTGTTGATTTGGTGAGTAAACTTTAATGACTAATAACTAAATATTTATTTACTGTGAAATATATTGGAAAATGTGACTAAGCGTACGATGGGATTGGCAACCTATCCTTATAGTGTACTTATCAACTCAAATATGGTTTGTGTGACTAAATATTGGCTGTTATGTACCTACTAGCATTAGGGATTGGCATTGATAACTTTGAAGCAGTAAAATGACCAGCAGTACTTACAATATTTTTTTTTTTTAATAGATGGTAAACATAGGTTAAAATCGATTACGATAAAGGCGCGTTACATCGGGCGGGTAAAAATAGTAAGAGACTTTGGCAACACATAAAAAATGTAACATATACGTCCAAACAGCGAGAATCATGTTCGAGTTTACTACTAACAGAATCTACTTCGCTTCAATCTGCTGACAATGTAAATAACTACTTTTTAAATGTGGGTAGAAACCTCGCTCAACAGCTGCAGCTAAACTCTACAACTCGGACTAATACAACTTTACTACACTCAAATACTGAAAAATCATTTGTTTTATTAGATACAGACGAACAGGAAATTGCACGAATCATAACTGGAATGAAAGATAATTGTGCAACTGGTTGTGATGGAATCAGCAATAGGATCTTGAAAACATATAGGCAAATTTTTGTCCCACCTCTGACTCATGTTTTTCGAGAGTGTCTCTCTAAAGGCATTTTTCCAAAATGTCTTAAAAGGGCAGTGGTTGTCCCTATATTCAAATCAGGTGACAAGAATCTAGTTAATAATTATAGGCCTATCTCACTACTGCCATCGATATCTAAAATTCTTGAGAAGATTATTAACATCAGATTGGTAAATTACCTAGAAATGAATAAATTCTTGTCACCACTGCAATTTGGTTTTAGAGCAAAGTTGTCAGCAGCTGATGCAGTACATACACTCACAGATTTCATATCAGAAGAACTCGGCAAAGGCAACCACGTTCTAGGAATTTTTATTGATCTTGCCAAAGCTTTTGATACTGTGTCTATTCCACTGCTTCTAAAGAAGATGGAATGTATGGGTATCAGAGGCACACAACTGAACCTCTTTGCTGATTATCTAGATGACCGTTACCAGTGTGTTAGAATAGATGACGTCACAAGCCCATTCCAGAAAAATACTGGTTTTGGAGTGCCTCAAGGGAGTATTCTTGGTCCTACCCTATTTTTGATCTATATCAACGATTTATGTAACATTGAGATGCATCATGGGAAACTAATATCATACGCTGACGACACGGCCCTAATTTTTTCATCCAATAACGACAATGAACTGTACTGTAATGCTCAATTGGCTTTTAATTCAGTTAATAGTTGGCTTTGCTCTAATATACTAACACTAAATGCGGAGAAGACAAAATTTATTCACTTTTCTATGCGCAAGAGTCCAATTACCTCTGTTACACCCCAATTATACGCACATAAATGTAGAATTAGTCCAGTGGACACATGCAACTGCCCTTGTATATTAAAAACTACTTCCATCAGATATCTAGGCATCACAATTGATGAAACTCTTTGTTTCAAACAACACATCAGCGCTTTGGTTGCACGTGTCAGGAAATTGATGCACATTTTTAAAAAAATTAGACAAATCGGAGATGTTAAACTAATCACTCAAATCTACCTAGCGTTATGTCAGTCAATTATCCAGTACTGTGTTACTTCTTGGGGTGGCGCATCAAAAACTAATATACTCCCTCTAGAACGTGCTCAGAGAGCCATCCTAAAAGTTGCATTTTCCCATCCCTTTCTCTTTCCTACATCGATGCTATATAGATCCTGCAAAGTTTTAACTGTTCGCCAAATCTATGTAGTACAGCTAATACTCAAACAACATTCACTACTCAGCTTCAATGTTAATAATCCTACTAACAAAAGGCGGAATGATATAGTTTGCACTTCAACCTCAGTGTCAAAACACGCTTTTATAAAAAGATTCTTTATCTTTCTTGGCCCATTTTTATACAATAGAATAAATAGAGAATTAAGTATTTATAGCCTCAATCACTTTCACTGTAAAAAACTATTACACAATTATGTACACACCTTAACATACGATCAAACCGAGGAATTATTTGAAGTAAGCAAATAATTTTATTATAGTTGACTTAGTTATTTTTGCTTACGTTTGTTTATGAAACTGTACACGCGCACCTGTTATACTTAGAGACTAGCTTAATTTAATTTAGACATAACATTTTTAGTTTTATAAGCAATATTATTGTATTTTAAATATTTCAGTACATTTTTAACCTGAAACACAGGCTTGGACCTAGTTCAGGTTTCACATATTTTTAGACTTTGTTTAGATATTAAGATTTATTTTGTAATCTGGCTTTTTACACCAAATAAACATTTTATTATTATTTTTATTATTATAGGTACATATTATTAATTTTCTGTTGAAAGCTATAAGAAACCTCTTCACAACCTTAATAAAAAGCATCACAATGTTTTCCAATGTTGACAATCATACAAGAATCATATCTCGTCTATCTAATAAGAAAACAGACTATGAATGTCATTCGTTTTTGTTTATTCCAGATTTTAACATGTCATCATGCCTTTTTCACCAAAGGGGTAGGCAGAGGTGCAGATAACGGTACTTAAATAGTGTTTGCCATGATACAATGTAACACCCACTTTTTACTATTTATGTTATGAGTCCCATGTAATAGGGGGTGAGCCTATTGGCAAATACCGGGCACAATTCCAGAATCCATGTTACTATTGAGATCTTTCAAACTTTGCCTGACCCGGGAATCGAACCCGAGATCCTAGCCTGGCAGTCGCATTTGCGACCACTTGGCCAACGAGGTAAGCAATCCAGATTTTATTTAACAAATATTTTGTTACCAGGTAAAAATAGGTGACTTTGGTCTAATGCGCGCGTTACCGGACGCGGACGATTGCTACGTGATGAGCGAGGGTCGTCGCGTGCCGTTCCCGTGGTGCGCGCCGGAGTCGCTGCGCAGTCGACAGTTCTCGCACGCCTCCGACGTCTGGATGTTCGCAGTCGCGCTCTGGGAAATGTACACCTTCGGAGAGGAACCTTGGATAGGTGAGCCATGCAACTATTCACAAGGAAATACTCATACCTCCGAGAGATTCTCGTTTACGTCTCTATTGTTAGAAAGTTATACCTGAATGAAAGGTCTAAATGGTTTAGAATAGTCTTATAATAGAACAATGTAAATTTGCCTGTCTTATCCATATAGATCTTGGCGTAGAAACCATATTTTCTTTCCCCAAATAAGATGTAATTCAACAACATGTAGCGGGTTCGATTCCCGCACAGAGCAACTCTTTGTGTGAATCACAAATTGTTGTTCCGGGTCCAAGTGTCATGTGTATGTGAACTTGTATGGTTGTAAAAGCACCCACGACACAGGAGACAGTCCCAGGCCCAGTGTAGGGGAGAGTTTAAAAAAAATTGCATGCATTGTTTACGAATAGATTTGATTTATACCTCAGACCTGATTAACATACCTATGAAGATAAGGCAGTGTATTATCATCTGACATCTTAATTCTGTTCAATTGATAAATATCTTTCTTCGATTTATTTTTATTTTCTTTATTCCTTTCTATGCAAAAAAAGTATAGATTAATGTCTGCAACATTGGATTATGAATCCATTGTTCGACTTTACAATTAAAATGTTAATCACCGTTTCATTGACGAACTGGGATTTTTTGTTTGCTAGCAATAAAATTGAATATGTTATGCATATGTGATGTTGGTTATACGAATAGTCATTGACCTCCTTCAGGTTTGAACGGTTCGGAGATACTGCGGCTAATAATGCGTGAAGGTCAAAGGTTGTCGGCGCCGAATGCCTGTCCGCCTGACGTGTACATGCTGATGATGCAGTGCTGGGACCTCAACCCCAAGGAGCGACCGACCTTCGCCGGCATACAGCGGTACATAGAGACCAACAAGTTCGAAACTGCTATTGCTGCGCTCAGGTAAGGAAGTAGTGCAATTATATTTGACCTTGCTTCTAGAAAGCAGTATAATGCTCGCTTTGCTGAATGCGAAGTTTTTAACAGATAAAATTCTTGAATACGTCATGGATATTTTGCAAAAGATTATATTTTTGTACTGTCTTGCAAAACATTATTTTAATCTAATACAACAAAATTTTGGTGATATACATAACATAACATCACGCCTTTTTATCCCCGAAGGGGTAGGCAGTGTACATTACGGCACTTAATACAACTGTATAATGTAATACCCACTTTTCACTATTTATGTTATGAGTCCCATGTAATAGGGGGTTAGCTTATTGCCATATACCGGACACATTTCCAGACTCGGTGTTACTACTGAGATTTTTAAAAACCCAGTAATACTTTGCCCGACCCGGGAATCGAGCCCGAGACCCCTTTGCCCGGCAGTCGCAATTCCGACCACTCGGGCAACGAGGCAGACAATTTTGATGATAACTACGTTAAAGCCCCTTGCGAGAACCAAAGATTATAGTAATTAGAATGAATATCATAAGTTGTCACGACAATGCTACATATTTCATTGTAAGCGCATCCCACGCATAGCAATAATGTCACGCAACTAAATCGTTTATAATCGGTAACTTTCTGCGCAACAGTTACCGGCGACCGGGCAAGATGACCATCGACGCTGGGGACGCGATCATACTGATAGACAAACGACCCGAGCTCCACTGGTGGAAGGGACAGAACCAAAGGACTTTGGAAGTAGGACTCTTTCCCAGGTAACCTATTGTTTTCCTACCTTATGTAGGTAAGAACTACCGTTTATAACTTAAAGTCTAAACCGTATAAATCTCACTTGTGATTTAATGACTATAAACCTTGATAAGCGACTTGAAATATTTTAATAGATTCATTTGTACCAGATAATTAACGTTTCGTTTTTATTCTAGCACACTAGTAACAGTTGGATTGAAAAGCGGTAAAAACAATCAGGCAGTTAAGAAATCGCAGACTTTGACACCTACACAAAGAGGTAAGGTATATTGTTAGGTAAAATTATTATTATTCACTTACCGTTTTGAAACATATTACTATAACTATTCTGGTGTTACTCCTGTCCTTGGGCAGCGCTAGTCCCTAACCGTCAGGCGATATGTCGGTGTTGTTTACCCATAAAGTTACAATATTATTATTTCCATATATTTATTTAAAATTCTCTATAAATTATATTTTGAAATACTTGCTACTTAACAAAAATAAAATAACATTTAAAATATAAAAAGTAGGAGCCGATCAGTAGCGGGAGCATGGTTCAAGCTCCTAGTGGTTTTTTTTTTAAGGGGGGAAAATCATCGAATGACTGCTCCCGCCTGGGTGAGGCGGGAGGGAGTGTCAGACTCTTACTGACTAAAACCTGATGAAAACCACCCCGTTCCTTCTCCTGCACGTCGAGCCGGAGCCCCGGTTACCCGTTAGGTTCTCCGCGACTCCGAATCGGCATCGGCCGTATTGGGCCCCATCTGTGGTGGTCTGATGGCTCTTTGGGGCGCGCGCGGAACGCGACGCGCCTTTACGGCGCGTCGCGTTCCTAGTGGTTAGAGCTCCAGAGACAGAAACCTCCTCACGATAGGTGCTGTTTCTGGGAAAATTGCCTTCTGGATCAGGCCCTTGCCCATCAATCCACCTAACGCCAGCCTCCTGAGATGGATGTCGAGGCTTTTAGGGATTAACCCATTGGCAGACACGACTTTCGGCACAATGTTAGCCGAAACCACACTCCACATGTCGACAATTTCGTGAGCTAAGTCTAGATATTTTATTCGTTTATCTTTCTCAGCTCTCACGAGGTTTTCGTCATGGGGGATGGTGACATCGATTATCATCGCACTTGACAATATTATTATGTGTGTCTTTACCATTTACGGGAGCACAGGGCCCCGGTCATATTATTTATTATCAATATTATCATTATTACTCCTTATCCTCGTCAAGTACCGTCATTATAGACACAATTATAGAACAATAGGTTGCGTTCACCGGTGACCGCTTGGTGTTTGACAGTTTAAAACTACTAAACTAAACTCATTTGCCTACCTCAAGAAATAAAAAGCCTGTCGCTCATATAATATTTGAACTAAATAATGTAACATAATTCACATAATTCATAAGCTATATTAGTAAATACGTTCACTTTTATATGAGAAGCGCGTGTGTGGCGCATTATACTTTTACTTTGGCTAAAGAAAGTAAAACTCTTGCACAGTAATACAGTTGTGTACGAAACACAGTCTGTGATGTAATGGCGTATTGTTCTTCATTACTCGCCAGTAATTATAATCTTCGCCTTGAGTTGCACTGAATACTTAATTATATACGTTATTTTGATTGTAAGAGGACGAGATAAATTGTGCTTATGGTATTTACTGACCTGTCCCTTTCAGTTATTACTTCGGTAAATATTGAGTACTTGGTCATCATCAACAGCCTATAAATGCCCACTGCTGAGCAAACGGAGAAGGTTTGAGCATTAATCACCAAGCTTGCTCAATGCGGGTTGGCGATTACAAACTTATAATTAGAAATTATAAGCCCAGGTTTCCTCACGATGTTTTCCTTCACCGTTTGTCAGTGGTGTCTAGATAATCTTAGAAAGTACATATAACTCTGAAAAAGTCTCATTGGTACTTGCCGTTGGTAGGTTCCCGCACCCAGATGTATGAGAAGCGGGCGTCTTAAACCTTCCGGCCACCACGAACTGATGAGTACTAGCTGATGCCCGCGAATTCGTCCGCGTAGAATATGATTCTTATATTGTCCCGTGGGTTCATTTAATCGGGATAAAAAATACCCTATCACCTAACTCAGTCCACTTAGTCGGAAAAACTGAATTAAACTACCATAATAAGTGATTAATATGAACACATGTTTATTTATTACAATTAAAAATATGTAAATAAATACACATAATTACACTATACTAGAACAGGATAAAACAATAAATAGTGTGATTAAATCATATTTATTTATGCACAAAAACTCGAGATGTTATTTGCAAATTATACCATACGACATAACATTGTCGTGTGAGACGCACTTAGCATTGAAAATCGCTAATCTATGACTAAGTTAATGTTTTATCACCTCTGAGTGATGAAGTCTGTGTAACTTGTGCAAACATGTCACACCTGAACATGGTACACATATTGTTATGTATGTATATCTATCAGTATTTTTGTTAAAATGTCACAAGGTGAAATTTTCATATAGGTACGAACTTTATATGAATTTGACCGTATTGTCTTTCAGTTCGATAAGATTATCTTTAAAGGAAGATGTTATCGGAAGAGAACAAATATCTTCTACTACAATGCATAAGAAGACACATTTATTTATTTTTATAAATATTGTACAAAACAGCTGTGATAAAATGTCATGATTCGTAGTAACACTTAAAATATATTATCGGAAAAATAAATGTTTTGTAGAACACAATAACAAATTACAAATTAGGTGCGAAACTTCCTGACAAAACTGATAATAAACATTAACTTAAAAAAATATATAATTTTGTTTGATTATACATACATATATTGGAAACTTAGGGCGGTTACCTACGCATTTAAATTGTAGGGTACAAATACCTAGTATACTTGTTGTAATAATGTACATTTTATAATCTTAAGCATCATCAAATGTTACAAGTAACGCCATCTAGTCTGTGCCTGGGAAGTTAATAGGGTGTCACTATATCTTTGCATTGAATGGCGTCGAAATGTGCCTTGTTAAGTTTCTTAAATAAGAGTACGTTATAAAAGTGCTCATCATTTATTTAAACCAGCAATCAACCACTTCAGCAATACTAATGTAGATATTTTATATTAGACCCTATCTTATTTACTTTTAAGTCTGTGTTTGAACTGATACCACCATACTTACGTAGATACCTATCTATATGGTAATAAGACACATGTGTCGGGTACGAAGTGAGTTTATTTATTTTTACAATGTGCATCTGCAGTGTCTGTGTACGCAGCACTTCAACGCTGAGTTTGAAACGTCTCGTTCTAGTGTTTACGTAGTAATGACGTCATAATATTGGTTTTACTACGTCTTTCAATGACAGATTGAAGTAAAGTATGTGCTTTTTTAAGAAATATGTAGTACAATTTGTTGTCCGCGATTTCGTCCGCGTGAAATAATGACTTCTGGTAGAATTTTTGCAAATCAATATTGTACCGAATTTCAATAATATAGATATAGTTATTTAGAATATAAAGAGTGCCGGGATTTTAACGCTTTAACGCATACTTCCCAATAGACCGACACAACAATTACTATAAACACAAGCCACACAACAAACACGAGCGACACGACTGACACGACAAATACGACATACACGACAAATACGACAGACAAGACAAATGCGACAAATTCTACCGACACGACAAAAACGATAGACAAAAAAAAACACGACAAATATGACCGACTCCACAAACACGACAAACACGACCGACACGACAAATACGACAAATACGACTGATACAAAAACACGACAAATACGAAAAATACGACCGACACGACAAATACGACCGATACGACTGATACGACAAATACGACCGACACGACAAATACGACCGACACGACAAATACGACCAATACGACCGCCCCACAAACACGACAAATACGACCGACACGACAAATACGACCGACACGACAAATACGACAGATACGACCGACACGACAAATACGACAGATACGACAAATACGACCGACACGACAAATACGACCGACACGACAAATACGACCGACACGACAAATACGACCGATACGACAAATACGACAAATACGACCGACACGACAAATACGACTGATACGACACATGCGACCGATACGACAAACACGACAAATACGACCGACACGACAAATACGACCGACACGACAAATACGACCGACACGACAAATACGACCTACACGACAAATACGACCGACACGACACATGCGACGGATATGACAAATACGACCGTCACGACAAACACGACAAATACGACAAAACATAAAATACGACCGATATGACTGACACGACAGACACGACTAACATGACCGACACGACGAATACGACAAACAGGAGCCACACGACAAATACGATCAACACGACATCTACTACAAATATGACCGACACGACAAACACGACCGAAACGGCAAATACGACTGATACGACAGATACGACAAATACGACCGACACGACCTGTACCTCATTAGTCTTTGCGTGACTGTTAACAAACACATACACACTCACTCACACACATTCTCACAAATTTTCGAATTTATAATCTTAGTAGGATACTTACTGAAATGTATTTCAAACTTGATTCACATTGCATTTTTCTATGGACAAAACCATAAAACCGTTAGGGTAACATGCTAATTACCTTATTATAGTCCTTATGTAAATGACTTGCCTCCTTGCTACTTCCATTCCTCTCAATGTAACATTTTTTGCGGTAAAACTTATATAACAAAACAAACAGAAATATTTCCAGCCCAAGCGACATCGAATGCATCATCATCGAACGGCGTGTCGGACGATATGGCGGTGATATTACGCAAGCGTCGAACGATAGAGTCGACGCAGCCGTCGACGACGCGCGGCGGGAACACGGGCAACAAACAGTTCAACTACAACAAACTCACCAACGACCGCGTCGCCACGTTAGCGCAAGAACGAGCCGCACGACAAACTAGGGACGCACATTCCAAGAGTCTCAATCAAGGTATGGACACGTCTGTTTCTTATATCGGTATCTCCATCTACATCTACAGCCTAACACTGCCACTGCTGACCAAAGGCCTCTTTTTGCACGAAGTAGGTTTGAGCACTAATCACCACGCTTGCTCAATTTGGGTTGGCGCTTTCAAATTTATAATAATATATTACTAGCTTTTACCCGCGGCTTCGCTGGCGTAACCCACAAAAGGATAAAAAGTAGCTTAAGTGACATATACTAATACACACAGCGCTATCTATACCAATACTTTTGTTTTCCCTCGGGAATATCAAATTTTTCCGGAATAAAAAGTACCCTATGATTTAATCCGGACTTCTAGCTTTACTTCTGCAAAATTTCAAAGCAATCGGTTTAGTAGTTACAGCGTGAAAGCGGAACAAACAAACAAACAAACTCACTTTCCGATTTATAATATTAGTAAGGATAGTAAGGATGAGCCTTAGTTTCCTCACTCCCTTCACCGTCTGTCAGCTGTTATAACCGTAACAAAACAAACCTCTGTATCTTATAAAGAAGGCTATTTAATTAGAAAAACAAATATTCACTTGTAATAAGAACTGTATTGCAATGCAAAGAGGTTTATTCTTAACTACTTCTGTAGACTACTAAATATTTAGGTGGAGATTTAATCCGTATCGTCCATACTGATCTTCATGAGGTTAACATAATTATATGCCAAGTACTAAGTTCCTAGAGCGACGGCTATTTAACAGTACTTCGAATCTTATATCTTATACTATTATATAAAGCTGAAGAGTTTGTTTAGTTGAGCAACTACTGGACCGACCTTTTATTTTTAAACGTTGCCCTATACTAGTATTTTCTCCTATGTCGTGGTTGCGTTTACAAACATACAAGTTTATATACACATGACACCCCGACACGGATCAACAATCTGTGGATCACACAAAGAGTTGTTCCGTGCGGGAATCGAATTTGCAACACGGTGCGCTGCAACCAGTTGTCCAGCCAGTGCGCCATGTGTATGTGAACTTGTATGTTTCTAAACGCACCCACGACACAGGAAAAAATCTTAATGTGCGGTAACGTTTTTTTTTTAAAGAAAAGAAAGTATTAAAATTACAAGGAGTGCAATTTGTATGTTAGCCAAATGTTTGGTACAGTTATCAAATAACGTAGATGTTGTAGTCGCATAAAAAATAATGTCTTACATGACGTCACTCGCTAAACGTACATATAAGAGACCGTGTTATACTGTATAATGTATTGAACAACAAGTCCAATGACACAGGACTGGCGACCCTCTAATTGCTAATACTCACGCATTGTTAGCCTCCATATTCAGTGTGGTGATACATTTCGCGAGAGTACGCAGCGTTTGCGTCTCACAGGTCTATAGTGGGCGTATCTAATTGAAACTACGTACGTTGTTGTGAATCGTACTCATTGTATTGATGTGATTATACTGATACAGGTATCTAAATGTATGTATATTTGTTTTGTTTTACGGTTTTATGATTCTGAAGTTAAGTTTTTTCTCTTGTTTAAACGTATTTTTGTCGGTTTTTAGCTGTTATATTATGACTGTAATGTAATAGGGCGCGAGACTTGACTATTGCCTTATTAAGGGTGGGAGAGCCATGCTTCGGCATGAATGTGCCGGCTCGACCGGGGTGATACCACGACCTCACTGAAAACTGACGTCAAACAACGTTTGCGTTATGTTTCGTCATGTGAGTGAGGTTAACGGAGGCCCAATTCTTCCCCAATCTCCCTGTAATCCCCAACAACAATCCTCAAATTCCTAATCCCCAAAAAGTAGGTAACGCACTTATAACGCGTCTGGTGTTCCAGGTGACCACGCTGATTATCCATCTGCTCGCTTATCTCATAAAAAAAGAATTTTCACGGTTGTAAACGAATGTTTTCAGATACTACACTACTTACAGTAATTACAAATTAGCTTTGATTTTGACTCTTACACATTCCACTTTATATAGCTTAACTCTTGTGTATTTCATTAACGTTATTAAAATTAGTTAACAATCCATCGCCAGAATACTGAAAGGCTATTCAATTTTATGTTGTAGTTAAATATCGTGCCATCTCTGTCATTGTACAAAGAATATGCAGTGACAGAGACCTTAGTACGAGTTTGTTTTAGGTTTAAAGTAATCGAAACGAGTGCGCATTCGTGGCTTGATTGGCCGGCTCCAATGAACTAACCAATCGAGCGCCGAGCGAGAGGTCTCGTTTCGATTCTTTAAACGTAAGACAAATTTGTACTAATACTAAGCATTCTGAACTATACGTAAGCGCGACTTTAAATTGCCGGTTCAGTATTCGAGCGTATGTATGTAAATATGTTTATAACATTAATACCAATCTAGACATTATTTCATTTAGTTATCGTTGTAATATTAGCTTGCATATGGTTTACTATGTATGTACCAGATAACAGACAATGTTTATCCTAAATGTTCATTATATAAAAATGCTTATGAACGTTGAAAGTGTAAAATAAAGTTTAATTCATTGTTTTTTTTATAATATTTCAGTAAAAGAGGACATATTGATCGACTTAGACCTCCCGCCCTCGACTCGGCTGAGCACGCCCGCTAAGAAGTCCAGTCCCACTAGTCCCAATGCAATCTCTATTCTTGACGAGCCCATAGATGTACCAGAAATAGGTGAGTTATTTACTGAATACGTTTATTTAGGGTAAAACTGTTTTGTAGCCTAAGTTTTGAAATATCATGAAAAATTTAGTGTAGTACACATTTCTTAGTTGTAGAGTAGTAATTAAACCTTCAAAAAGAAAGGAGTCTGATTTTTTGTTCATGTTTGATGTTTTTATCTGTTACAGGACTCGACAGCGACTGGGGCGAGCAAAGTATAGAAAGCTTACCCAGTGTCTCTACTTCATACAACATACAAAACTACGCCATCTATGGTGCTAAGTCTTTGGACAACCTATCGACTCCTCTACACCTAAGCACATCACAAGCAACTCTACAACCAGATCCATTCGACACATCACAGTTCTGGCCCTCCAATGCAACTAGATCTAACTACGAAATTAATGAATCTAAAATAAGTAGTATAAGCAAACAGTTACAAGAATCTCACAGATACTCAAGTAACAACCACACGGCGTCTTCCAACGCGGAGGCATCACATATCTACAACAACATGCCGTCTACCAGTACCGGCGCCGCCAGTGCCAACAACACGTACAGTAACACTCCGTCGCCCTACGCCATGAACAACGCTCTCTCATTAGAACGTAACGTCACCGTGCCCAGTGTCGCAGCCTCACTCGCAGACATGTCGTTAGACGACAGAATCTCAGAATCTCTCAATCTTAGATCTAAAAGCAACAACAGTGATTATCCGTACAGCGACAGCATATACAGCGCGCCATCTACTTCAGCCGCGGCCAACAACGCCACTGAAGATAAGAAATACGGCGACATTCCCATCTACAAGAACTACGACATCACACCAGTGCAGCAACAATTTATATTGGAAACGAAAGACTACTACACCAAGCTATCGACCCCATCGAAGACTAACACGAGCAATGATTACGAAAAGAACATTTACGTGCCGAAGTACGAAGAGGATGGTGAGAAGTTGAAGAACTTTAGCGACTGTGTGGAGAATTCTAAGAATTACTCGGCGTACAAGTACCAAAATGTGGACTATCAGTATTCGAACTATGACAGCTTCCGAGGCAGTCTGGCGTCGACGTCGCGCGGCGCCGCCGTGTACGACGAGGTCAATGACACCGCCAGCAACTTCTACAGCGAGATCGGCGAGCCCGGCGCCGCCAGCGTGTACGCGGCGCAGCCTGTGTACTCCAACTCCAACCTGTACGACGAGGTGTACGAGGAGTCAGTGCCGCGGCCGCACCGCCCCGCGCCGCCCTGCCCGACTAAACCTAAATAATCACACATATATCTCATTATTGCCCCATAAATCAGTCTACTAAAATGTTGCAAAGTATACTAATTTTAAGTTACCAAACAATGAGATATTATCTGTGTGCCTTTTAATTCTCGAAACAGTAAGATGACTGATTGAAAGGTTGACATTTCATAAGACGTTTGTAGTCAGTCGAGCATTCATTGCAAAGCACATCGTTTGTTAGACGTGGTCTAAATAGAGACATAGGTAAAGCTATTGTAAATAATACCGTGATCTTCTGAAATGTCAATTTACATAAGACTGACAGCATTTTAAAGTCGCCGGAAAGAGAATCGTATGACGATCTGTCCCTCGTAACATTATATCATTTTATTCTAGTATATAGCTTGTATGTTACTTTGTTGATCCTAAAACTATTCCATTATGTTAACACATTGTGTTCTAATTGGCCTCTAAAACTATCGACCCCAGTATGCAGCATTACTAAATACTTTATCTATAACTATATAACTGATATTAATATAACTATACTATACTCTGTTCATATAACTCGAATGTAGCAAACTGTAAATAAGAATTGTCTATGTAATCTCAAAGTGTATATTACGGAGTGTTATTTTTGTAATGGAGACTATATTTTAGATAATATTGTATGAGGAAACAGGCATGATGATAAAACAGAAAGTTATATTAATATAAATTGTAAATACATAGTCAATTGGCATCTATTTGTACGTAGACTATTTGTTCGTTGTGAAAATGACGATCATTTCCCATGTTGGCATCTCAAAAGGCAGCTATATTGACCAGTGAAATAATATTTAATTAATAGTGGTACAATTATTTGGCATTCCATAGTCTCTGCCTACCCCAATGGAAGACAGGCGTGAGGTTATGTATGTATGTCTGTGGTACAATGATTAATGTCAAAATTATTTAAAAGTTATGCCATATACAAGATTTTATTTATCATTTTACGTAAAGCATAAACCTTCTTAGATTCCAACATGTTCTGTAAAGTTATTTAAATCGATAGTATTTATACAAGCTATCACAAAATGCATGGTATTTGATGTATAGCAGCTGATATTGTCGGCTTATTTGTTGAACTTAAAGTGAAATAAGTATGGACAACTGAATGTTTACAAGTTTATTATTACTCACTATTTTTACTCATTTTTTTAGTTTTTACCTTTACTGCTGTTTGTGAACATTGATTCAGTGAATACTTTCTATTTAAATCTTATATTTCTAATTGGAAATTCTTATCTGTATTTTGAAAAAGTGTTATTCAATTGTATGTTGCAATAAGAAGTAGATACATAAGATTCTAGATTAATTTTAAAAGAACGTTTTAATCGGGTTAATAGGTTGCTTATGAGACGACCTGCTCCATCGTAGACCGCTTACCACTAGGCGAGATAGTGGTCAAAAGTCGACCCATCAAATATAAAAACATAATTGGTTTCTATAGATCAAACAGTTTAAAGACTTCTTTATAACTGAGTGAATGTTCATAAGGCATTGTACAAACGTGCTATTTATTTAGTTAGGCGATAGTCGGACAACATCACACGGTGCCTCACCAATAAGTACCTGTTAGTTTAGTTATTTGACGAAAGCTAAGTTACTGCGTCACTGGCACGTTTTAAGTCATTTTTGTAATTATTTATTAATATTATTTGTAGTGATCTAAGCTTGCCTCGAATTGCCGGATCGATGGGCCTCCCTAGCATAATTTGTAACTGTGTGATGAGATATTATGAATGTTATTACTGATGTCAGAAAGATACAAATTTGTTATTAGGTAATTAATAATCCTAGGAAAATGTATGACGTAAGTTATGTTGTGTATATGTCGAAGTCGACGTACGATGATGATATACTCATTAACAGACAAGTAGTGAATATTAAATTTTATCGTCACGTAGATCCGGTGTAACTAATTATTCATTGTTGATTAAAATGTAGATTTAAGTGTACCCGACTAAGGCAAGTTTTTCCTAAAGTATTTTTCTATTCCACGCATTAATTGGCGTTTAACATTTTTATTGAACGTTTTACTGTATATTGTCTACACTTTACGTGAACAAAACTTAAGTTTGATTGGAAACAGTCGTGGTTGATCCGACTTCGAAGTTTTGATATTTTTTTAATACAAATTTGATAACATTAATCACATTTTTACGACACTAAAGTGCACCATGACTATATATTTTTTATGACAAAGGTGCACTAGAAACTAGAAGTTCAAATACTAAATATATCATGTTTTTGAAGTTACAAGTTATTAAAAAAAACATAATCACAGTAAATATAGAAGTAATCAATTGACGGTTGAATCGCGACTGTATGAATGTTCTACTATCTTAACTCAATGTACTAAACAGTGTGTAGGTAATGTAATCAAGTGTTATCTGTCCGTTTTGCGAGAGTTAAGAGTGTATAAATGTACAGTTCTTGTAAATATGCTTCAACGTCAGGCTGCTTGGATGAAACTAATAAAACATCTGTTGGCATCACATACTGTATTTTTATTTATATCTAGCTCTTTCATTCCCCCATTTATATAACTTCCTTCCTTGGCAGTCATAGTAAAGTGACTATAAGTCAAAAGTGCATAAATGAGCAAAATTGCAAGAGTGATCCGCATCTGTAGACATGTGCGGATCACCCACGTTTGCAACATCTACAAAAAAACTATATATCAACTTTAAATGTTTATTTTTGCCATTAAATAGGAAAAGTTCTAAAACTTAGCCTAAGTACAAACTACAATGATCATCAAGTTACAAATATCCGTCATGTTTAGGAATAGCAACTATTTTCTTTTGTAACCCGGCAGAACTCAAATCAGGAAGAAAGTTTTGATATAGTTTGAAATGGGCGAGACTAAAATGTGGTCGTTCTTAGAACTTAGCGTTGTCGTTTTATACCAAGTGTAAAAATATTTAGGGCCGATTTTTCAATAATTTTGAGTTATTTGACAATTCTTCCATACGAATAAATGTCAAATGTTAATTTTATTTTAAACTGTCAAACACCAAGCGGTCACCGGTGACCGCAATCTATTGTTTGTTAACGGTATTGTACCTATAATTGTGTCTATAATGACGGTACTCGACGAGTTAATACAGTTATGAATTAACTGATGATTTTTTGTATGGAATAATTGTCAAATATTATAAGTAATTCCTCAGTTAAACTTTACCTCAGTAAAATTGACCCTAAGTCTAATCTATGTTTTTTTAAGGGGAGAACATCATCATTTGAAGCCCCTTAGAGAAAATTTGATCTTTAAAAAATCTCACTTCACTGTATTCATTTTTTAACTCAAAATAGAATTTTTCTTTAAATATGTTAGGTGAACAACTAACCGCTACCACATTTTATTTTGTATGAAATCTTAATTAATGTGTTAATTATCGCGGTACCTGGTGGCTCTTGTACTTTCGTATTCACGGTAGGCTTAACCCAGCAGTAAGTAGGTACTCATCTATTTTAAGCTCAGTAATTGGAGCCCTCATTATAAGTACCCACGAAGGAATATCGTGGTCGTTACACTTTACGATTTAAAATTAAACGTAACTTATAATAGCGATAATTTCGTATTATTTTACATAATTTACATTCGTATGTCATTTTTCATAGTAAGTAGTTTAATTTACTTGGTTAAGTTTATTGTTTTTCATTTCATGTATTATTATTTATGTTCATTCATTAGATAGTAGCCAAGATAGTGATCAAACGTCGGCCCATCAAATATAAAAATAAAAATTATGTTAAATAGATGTTGGAAGTAAGAATTCTCAAATAAATTAGGCAAATGGTACCTACCTATTAAAATACTAGCTGTTGTCAACTTCGTCCGCGTAGTATATGAATTTTAGGACATAACTTTTTTGTTTCAATTTTCCAAAATGAAAGACGTGCAGGAGAAGGAACGGGGTGGTTTTTAGTCAGTAAGAGTCTGACACTCCCTCCCGCCTCACCCAGGCGGGAGCAGTCATTCGATGATTATCCCCCTTAAAAAAAATAAAAAAATCGTATCTATATTCATATGTATGTAGTAAAAAGCGGTTATTTGAATATTACAAACACACTGCAATTTTATTCATTTCTTAAAAAACACTTAGATCAAAGCGATTCAATATTGAATCTCCATGCAAAGACATTCTGCCTACCTATCTACATAGTAAATAGGTAGGTTCATACGTAATATAGTCGCATACTTTCAGATCGGGACACGATATTGCACATCGCGACGCAGGGCTAAGCTTCCCTGCATATCTATTATAACAAGTAGCTACAGACGACATAAAGTTGTGAAAACCAGTATAAACCGACCGTCGAATGAACGAAAGGACCATATAAAGCAAGACCATGATGAACTGGTTTGCACAACGCAATATGTAGCTGTGTGTATGAAGTACATATCTACCTACTACATGCCAACATGTATGTATGTTGGGTCGAGGAAGGAGGTATGTCTTCATTTCACACTTACGAAAAGTAGGGTTTTTTTTAAAGGCGGGAAAAATCATCAAATAACTGCTCCCGCCTGGGTGATGCGGGAGGGAGTGTCAGACTCTCACTGAGTAAAAACCATCCTGTTCTTACTCCCGCACTTCGAGCCGGAGCCCCGGTAACCCGTTAGGTTCTCCGCGACTCCGTATCGGCATTAGCCCTATTGGGCCCCATCCGTGGTGGTGGTGGTCTGATGGCTCTTTGAAGCGTGCGCGGTACGCGACGCTCCGTACGCTCGGGTCGTGGTCGGGCGGTGAGCCACCCATGCTCGCCGTCCGCAGGCCCGCGACGAAAAGTAGGGTACCAGTGCCACTGTCAAACAAACTTGCTCCTTATCTACTGATTCGGGTTTTACAGGTTTTTGTGTTTCATTTGAATAATTATCTGTCTATCCAATAATAGAACAGTCTACCTAACTCTAGGTACTTAACTACGTAAGACTATTTCATGGTGTTAGTAAGTATCTATTTTCTTTATCACTTTTCCTGTCTATTTGTTTTATTAATACCTGACTCGTTGAGTACTGCCTCGTTGGCCGACTACCGGGCAAGGGGCCCCGGGTCGGGCAAAGTACTATAGGTTTTTTTTTAAATCTCAGTAGTAGCACGGAGTCGGTAATTGTGCCCGGTATATGGCAATAGGCTCACTCCCTATTACATGAGACTCGTAACTAAAATAGTGTATAATAGGTGTTTAATTGTACCGTGGCCTTTAGTGCCGTAATGTGCGCCTATCCCTTGAGGGATAAAAGGCGTGATGTTATGTTATTACTACCTGAATAGCTGTAGTTTTTTATCGTTTTCCCTTGCAAACCTACGCTGAGGACCCTTTAATACATTGCGGGATTAGCCGCCCACAAGAAATTTAATTTACCATCTTTAGTTCTCCATCCTGTTTTTATGCAAATTTGCCTAGATATGTAGGGACGCACGTAATTTCACTGCGCTAGGAATTAAATGAGATAACTGAATTAAGTTGCACATTATCCGGAATAATAAAAATATTGAAAAGCACAATCATGCGTTAACGTGTAAATTGTTGTTAACTCTTTAGCTCCGTGCGTCCGATTCGCCAGTTGAGTCCACGGTTTGCACGCCGACAAGTTAATAGCGAGAAAACGCTGTTACGCACCACGTAAGTAAAAACTACGTGCTACGAACTACTTACGCGCTACGAACAGCACGAACTTCGTGCTACAAGCTACGCTCTACGACCTACGATCTATGAACTACGTACTACGAGCTACGGATGTAATTCACAGCAAGTGCAAAATTTTTATTTGCTTGGGTATCTAGCGGTTGAGAACTTGGCTCTTCATGAGATCTGATTAGGTTCTGAGAGTGAAAACATGAGAACATTTTATGAGACAATTATATTCAAGTACCTATCCGAAGTAGTTTGTTAATTAGTAAGCTTGTACCTTGTGCACATAGATCGTATAATATTATCATAATTATATCAAGACAGCCAGTTTCTCAGACCATAATTATTATACATGAGTGCAATAGCACTAAGGCACTACCCACACTCAACAAACTTTTAATAACGAAGCTGGATGCTTTACACGTAATTACTCGCTTCTTTGTTATCTGAGTAAGTTCTACGTACTTTATAAACAAACTACGTAGTCGCTCCACAGACAGTAATTTCATTAACATTTTACTGAACTTGTCTAATGTCTTGTATAATACCAGTTATTAAGTTTTCGGTTTGACTCCGTCGAAGTCGTGACCATGTGGAAATATGTCACGCAATTATATATGCATGCCACATCGTCGCAGCTGCTTTGTAGATCTTTATTATCTGCTCGGCTTACGACAGAGGGGGCCTCTAGCTAAACATGACTTACTATGTATTTTAAATAACATATATTTTCAATACATAGTAGGTACCTAAGTCCATAGCTGTCATACCTAATATTGTTTATCCAAAAATTTCAAGGATTTAATTAAACAGTTATACTAGTTAGTACTTGGAAAAAGGAGCAATAGTTTTAGAATATAATTCGGCTAGTAATTTTCACTTAATTGATTACATAACAGGTTAACGAAGACCTATGAGTACCGACAAATAAACGGCACATAAAATTAATGATGGCCATTGTAGCGGTAGGGAGTTAGAGCGACATTGGCGTGGCCCGAAGCCGTGTTATCGTAACTACGTCATTTACATGCAGGGTGGCGATAACTTAGCGTGGGCGAATGCCGTCTCCAACTGACTCGCTCGTATTTACTCTAATGTGATACTTCTATTAAATTGTACGCTGCTCCTTGCGAATAGCTCTCTAATCCTACCTAATTGTACCCGATTGCAAAGTAAACATTAAGTTACGTTAAAACCGAGTTTCAGAATGCTTTATTTTTCATGAAAGTTTCATCGATAAAGTCATAATTGTTGTCGAAGTGAAGTGGTTGAAGTGTGAGGCTCGCAGTCCAGTGCTAATATCGCGTTATCTAATGATGATTGGTGTGTAACATCGGCGCGGTGCGTCGTTATGTAGGCGGCGAAGTGGCAGCACGTGAATGGACGGGCGCAGGATCGATAGAGCTGAGTGCGCAGGCTCGCTCCGCCGGTACACAGCTGGCGGCTTCGCACCCGCTACCGACTCGCTCAACCTGTGCCTCAGTGTCCACACTGAGGGGGCTAAGTGTATCAGCTGTATCTCGAACATGTTCCAGTGTTATCGGCGGCTCTAAACGGTGCGTAGAACAATCTTTACATTAGCTCTCACGATCCGCCCTTTTCGTGTTAGTATAGTGTAGATATTTTCAGTGGTCGTCGCCATATCTGCATATTAACGGGAAACCTGTTACACGAGTTCACATAACAATTCATTAAGACTGTGAGTGTTTGTTTATAAACTAAAAGCTTCTGTGAAATCTTTAATGTTTTCTTAAATTACTAAATTCCTTTGCCTGTTTAAATTTAGCTTCCGCAATCGATAAAGTGACATTTAACTGGACGGAGCTTCTCGGTGCAATGTCGGTCGTTCGCTAAATTAGTGTTAAATGTTTATTTTCCATAAATATTCGTAATAGTGCTATCTAATATCGATAATTACAGTTGATGTTTAATAAATTCAGTAATAAAATGGTATCAAGATACAATTCGCGTGGGAGGTAAAGGGCATGAGTGCCTACGTCAGTGGATCCAACATAACAAACTATAGAACGGTGTATCTACGATCTGCGCAATTTTCGCTTTTATTCCTATGAGCGTGGGGTCGATATCAAAGAATTGTTTGTAGAAGTATATTTCTAAAACCAAAATTTATTCTTGGTAAATATAGAAGCTATTTATAACTGTCTATATAATTAACGGAGGCTTTTAATATGATTGTGATAGGTTTTTACATCTCAAGTATATTTAATTTCGATGTTATTGCCATATTTTGTTGAAGAATAACCTTGATATATCATTAACCACACATTATAGAAATCAATGTAGTGTGTGCTCCTTCAATCAGAGTAAGTGGGGGCAATACCTACAACCATTTTATTAACGTAATTACTTAGGTAAAGTGTTGATTAATGATGCTATACATCCAGGGCCTTGTAAAATACAATTACAACTAAATTAACACCTTTATTACTCAAGCACTAAATGCTTTATACTTAAACAATATATATAAGTAAACGATGCTACTGTTCATATTTTTCTTTCGGAAATGTTTCGAAGAGTTACAAAATTAATATTGGATGTTTCCATTACGATTTGACTTGTGTAAGTAAACATGGTTCTAGAGAACCGTCATAAATTAAACCCCACCTATAATTTTCTGGTTGATTGATATAAAAAAATTAAGTTTTTTCTTTGTAATTTGTTTGTACCTACTGGCTGAAACTAATGATGCCATCAATCACCCGAAAGTATTCATTCTGTTGAGGTGAAAGAATTGTTAACAGAGTAGTGGCTAAATATATTTATTTATTTATTTCCAATACACAGGAGAACACATATAGCACCTTTAAAGTAAAACTGTTATTAAACGAATATTTTCATAAATAGTCTATTCATATTAATATATTAAACTGTCAAACACCAAGCGGTCACCGGTGACCGCAACCTATTGTTCTATAATTGTGTCTACAAAACCGGTACTCGACGAGTTAAATAAATATTATAATAAATGATTATTTGGTGTAAAAAGCCGAAAAAAAGAAAAATAAGATTTATTTTGTAATCCGACTTCTAAATCATTAAGTAAAGAAAGTCTAAATTTATATAAAATCTGAAACAAGTACAAGCCTGTGTTTCTAGTTAAAAATGTGCTGACATATTTATAGTACAATAACATTGCTTATAAAACTAAAAAGTAATGGCTCGTATTCTCTGATAACTGAATTCATGATAATTTTCGTTCAATAACGGTTTTAACTACAATACGCGGGTTACTCACGTGAATATACCAACTGAGAACAGCTCTACTAGTTTCGAACCACAGAGGTAGTAGTACGAAACTAGGAGAGCTTAATTTAGTACGTCTCACAATAGTTATTATAATAAATAACGGTTTTACTTTAAAGCTGCGATCAATAGATCGGAGGTACACAGGTACCTACTGCATATTCTTGTAGGAACCTCTTCCTGCAGTCCTTTGAAAAAAAAAACAATATATCTAAAAAACTGTGATAAAATAAAAAGAAATAAAACAATAAATAAATAAATAAATAAATATATTTTTATGTAGGTATGTGATAGACTTTTGTAGAACTCTTTATTATAATCTTTACCTATTTACCTTGGCCTGCCCCTATGATCTACACTTACATAGGATTAATTCTGTGTACTGTTAATGAAATATAGTATGTGCGTATACTATATCTATTAAGCAAACATTTAGAAAATAAGCAAGTCATTATCGAGTAAAGAATTTGTAGTTCATTTGATTATTAATGTTTCATATTGCCATATTAGCACGGAGTTTGTATATTTGAAGGGTGTAGGTATGACAATAGGATCCTTTCCTATTACTCGAGATTGTACTCAAACTATAATATATCATCGAAAAATCAGTTTGTACCTTTACATTTAATATTACTTTGTCCACTCTATCTCTGCTGAAACTTTCATGTGTACAGTCAGCACCAAAAGTCAATGAACAGAATCAACATAACAAAACACCTGTTCACAATAAAATGCCACAAGTTATAGTCGCAACTAGGAAACAAAATAGCCTGTACACCAGAAATTTACAGAAATCGTTAAACACGAGTATTTCAAAAGTACATGTGCACTAGTATTCCAGAAGTCGCTGTACACCATCAATCCAAATGTCGCTGAACAGCATTGTATCAAAGTCACTAAACAGCTAATTCACCTGACTAAACTAACTACTACTAAATATAGAAACTGCTGATATTGTTATATCAAAAGTCACTAAACAGCAGTAAAGACAAAATTAGGTTAACAAAGTATATTTTTAATGTTGCCGTGTGTTAATATAGAGGTACTTTTAACGCTTGTGTTGTTCAGCTACTTTTGGGACAGTGCTTGCTTAACTTAATAATATATGTTAACACGTTAGTATCTATTTCAATAATTATTTTGGTGCTGACTGTACCTAATGTAACGTTCCATTGATTTATTCTTACAATTCAAGTTGAAATATTGTTTTTGGTTCTATCCAAATAGCCTAGCTGGAGCATAACATAAATACAACACAATTTTCCAAATACAGTCTCAAAAACTCTAAGGTCCGATTTTTCAACCATCAGTTAATTCTTAACTGTAAAATAAAATTGACATTTGACAGTTTTTTGGTATGGAAGAATTGTCAAATATTGAAAGTTATTAGGCCACCCATGCTCGCCGTCCGCAGGCCCGCGCAGCCCAACAGGGCTACATACGGAGCTACGGAAGAGTTAACGGGCTCCGGCTCGAAGTGCAGGATTAGGAACGGGGTGGTTTTTAGTCAGTAAGAGTCTGACAATCCCTCCCGCCTCACCCAGGCGGGAGCAGTCATTCGATGATTTTCTCCCCTTAAAAAAAACCCTATTGAGAACCTCCTTTCTTGGAAGTCAGTTAAAAACAACGATAGTTTCCACTTCCCTCGGTGAATTTAATGCAGGAGACAGTTATGAAGTTATTATGAAGTATTCACATTCAAAAGCAATAATGCACATACTCCACATTCGTTCAGCGACCTTCCCAGCAAGCAATCACATAAATATTCTAGTCCATGCCTGCAACTCTTGGTATCGACTTTGAAACTTCTTAACAATTTATATGAGAATTTCTAACGTTCAATAACTTCGAGTTCTATTGTATTGAAAGGACTTTAATACCTCGTGTATCTAGGTAGAAGTTACAGGTATTTTTTACGGTACGATTGATGTGGTGGTTTGGCAACGTGTTTATTTCCCGCATGGAGCAACTCTTTGTTTGATCCACAAATTGTTGTTCTGGGGCTGGGAGTCATGTGTATGTGAACTTGTATGTTTGTAAACGCACCTCTAACACAAGAGAAAATCCCGTTATATAAAAATAAATATTACATTTTTCTCACACCTTCTACTTATGTACTTCTCAGCCCACCCCTTGATGAACTCATGGGATTGGCTGAGTTGCACAGTTTGAAACAAAAACTACACTTCAGCATTATTTTATTATTTAATTCCATGTAAATTTTTAAAAAATAATCCATTTTTCTTATGGAAATTATCGGAAAATGTCTAAAGTGTCATATTAAAAGTTTCATGTTTTTAATTTATAGAATCGCATTATCAGATACATATGTTCAAGACGAGTGGTGTAAAATACATAAGTACTACATAAAAAGCAACCTTATATATCTAGTAACGTACCTACCTACTTACATCTGCTTATTTGATCATATCAATTGACAATAGCACCCAAACAACCCGAAACTTTTATTAAAGCTGGGGATAACAAGAATGTTACATTCGAATCATTTTTATAAAATATTCATGTACCTTTCCGGCTTGCTATCATTGGATTAGTGAAGTTCTGAGGAGTTTTGACATATCTACATATCTACCTGGACCATACGGCATCGGGTGTACCTTTACGGACGACCCACATGTGACCTTACACATTACAATTGAATTCAACTCTTTCTATCCAATCTAGAAGGATTATATATTACGTATCTACCTATGTCACGCTGGTTTGGATATATAGAAATGATGGATGAAAGTATAGTAACGAAAGAAGTATACTGACCAGATATGAATAGGACCATCGGTAGAGGGTGCCCTCTAGACGGACATATACTAACCAGATTGGCGATATATTAAAGAAAGGCCAAATTAAAAGTACCCTTAATCGACGAAAGATTGATGACTGTTGATGAAGCGAATGAGGCATGTAGGTATCGTAGTTATTGGCGTTCCATAGTCTCTGCCTTACCCCAATGAGAGACAGGCGTCAAGTTATGTATGCATGTATGTCCTATGAATGTCTGCATATTGAATTATACATAACCAGTTTCCCATGGTCCCGTTTTGCATGATGTTTCCGCACATTTGACGGTGAGTTTATACTGGTTTGCTCGGCTTGATGTGTGTAGGCACTTATATGATGGTTTTTTTTTTTTTTTTTTTAAGGGGGGAAAATCATCGAATGACTGCCCCCGCCTGGGTGAGGCGGGAGGGAGTGTCAGACTTTTACTGACTAAAAACCACCCCGTTCCTTCTCCTGCACGTCGAGCCGGAGCCCCGGTTACCCGTTAGGTTCTCCGCGACACTTATATGATGGTTAAAATACTGTCTCGTTTGTCGAGTGTGTAACTTTTTTTCTTTTATCTATAGTTTTGTTAGTCACTGTGTGTTAGTAACAATAGTCTTCAAATTAATGAATTATGTTGTGTAAACTAAATAATAAATAATTAGGTCTAAAAGACATAAAAACTAAAGTATTTACAACTAAAATTAAATTTGGATAAATTGTATTAACACTTGAGTTCAAATTCTTTGGCAAAGATCTTGTTCTATATAGTAATACCGAATGAAAATATTAAGATGTTTGGGTTACATTTTACAATTATATCTTAGTATAAGATAAAGTCAGATCAAGTCAAGAAAAGTCTGAAATGGTATACGTATGTATGTATAGTCACAGAAAAAATATTATTTTATTATATCGATGTGTATAGTGGTTGATGTCGCCCTCTGTTACATGGGGCTTCTAACTGGCTAAACTGGATTTTACATTTCATAATACTAAGTAAAATTGTAAGAATATTTTCCTTATGCTAAGCTGTAATAATTTTACACAAAGTTATTGATTTTTATTTCTAAATATTTTGTAGAAGTTTAATTATATACCATTTTCGTGTATTTGAAGTTAAATAAATATCAGAATCGATAGTTTATTTACATAGTTGACCCATTGCTGGAGTTAGATAGTCGTACTAAGCCTGCACTGCACTGCCTAGTACTTTCATTCCGATATACCTACTTGTTTGGCTTCCTACAATTTTATACCTAAACACATATTATGTATAGCAAAATGAGTTCAAAATATTCTTCTTGCCGCATCGCTTTGTTTCTTACTATTGTAAAAATATTACTTAACCTTACTACTATTATTATCAAATATTGGGATCTTACAAGCTAAACTAAAGTACCTATCAAATGTAATAGGCATGCATACCTATTTAGCTTCATTGTGCTAGTCATATCTCCATTATTACCACAGGCTACCACTATCGTTGTGATCAGCCCTTAACGTTTATATCCCTTTTAGGAGAAGCGAGTACACGTGTACGTATAAGTAAATAAATAGAAGCTGTAGGTGGGGGGGGGCTGCTAGCACTCACTGGATATTGCATTTGGCATTTTCCGATAGTACACGTCCAAAGTGATATGAGGTGGCCCGAGTTGCCGGTCTCTGTTTGCTCTGCAACGTTTCTACTATAACTTTATACGCTCCTTCAAATGTTATCGAGATTGAATTCTTTCCACGTTTATTGAAAGTGCAGTGCAGCAAATATATACTTCATTTCTTCATTCTATAGGTTATTTCTCTATAATGGATACTTTGTACGAATGGAGCTTTGTTTGGAGTTATAATAACGTAACAACCTCTTTGATTGAGTAACTGAAGATACCTTCAATTAAATCATGCATCACCTGATATACTGAAAACATGCCTATCATTCCTGCTTTTTAGGTACAAGCATCACGCATACGTATCTCAGTAAGGAATAACGGGTAACTTATCTATAAAACTGTTACCCCAGTCAAAACATCATACATTAAAATATCCAGTCAGGTTATAAAATGCCACCTCTGCTGAACTGACATATTTAAGAACATCATACATAAAAATATCGCTTAAAATGTCCACTCAGGTTATGTACTAAATATAGATAGCTACATATATGTAGAAAGAGCTCGTTCGGTGCTCCCACTATTTAATTAGTTACCTGTAGGTACGTATGTAGGGCTGTCAGGTGCATAGCTCGTCGCGTTCGTTGCCAGCCACCGCCCACGTCAGCTCCCGACCCTGCGTTCAATGAATCCCGTAACGAGCTACATCGCAATTAACGTCCAAACAATACGCTTTACAATTAATTGTTTTGTCAAAGCTAATTATTTACCTATTGTTTGTTATTATAGTTATTTACCTAGCCTACGCTTCAGTCATTTTCTGTGCCTAGATTCGTTTATTCATTCTTTGGTCTGGTGATTGAAAGACAGAAACCTTCGGTTTAGACATTTACCATTCTAGTTTTATCTCTACATTTCTTAACAATCCAATCACAAATAATAATAATAAGTACGTATAGTAATATGTAATTTCAAAAAATAGTTACTTATTAATTTCTCGTAGTAGCCGTAGGCGACTACGAGACTGCTACGAGCGCTACGAAGAAAAAGCTTGGACATAATACACGTAGAACATTGGTATTTTTAACTGAGATACTTTTAATTAAAATCTTTAACGAGGTCGGCATTCTCAGCGTTTTTATGAAACTTAAAATAACCCGGGATTGAAGAGGTTTTAAAACTGCTAGGTTGCTCTCGTTTTACTTATCCAGCACTTCGCCTACGCCCATCCCTCCGAGCTATAGCATACGCCCACCACTGACCTACGTCATAAGTCAATAGAAAATCGAGGAAATGTATCCAAGTTGTAGCAAATGTAAACACGTTTCGACTATAAATCGGAAGCTTCGGAATAGAACTAGAACCCTGATCGATATTCTGTTTTCTCAAACTGTTTATTATTCGGGTGGTAGATTTAGCTGTTTGTTTGAATGTTATTTAATTTAATGAAAAACTAAAATAATGAAGTGAAAGTTTCTTCGAAACTAGGCATGAGGTTCCGGAGTAATTTGTATGAAACTAAAGAAGTAATTATTTGGGTTGGTAGATACCTACCCTAGTAAATACGTGTTCTGTTCATTTTCAGTATCTTGGCCGCCTCTGATTAAGGCTAACTTTACTCTCCGTGACTACACGAAAAGGGCATTGACATTGTTTCAAAATAGTTGTACCTGTACCTTTATTTTGGGCCGAACTTTGCTAAGAACATAATGTGTTTTGGACTTATTCGGAAATAATCTGATAGATTAACAAAGTTCAGTTTGTGAATAAGTAATGCGGTCTAAACAAGGGCCTTAGAGTGGATATCGGTGTTTGAAACATAAATAAAGACGCCACGGCCTGTCTCTCGTCGTTACAGAATTAATCTGGCGATCTGTGGCGAGGGATCTAGGCCGTGTTCTTCTAAACAAAGATAGATGGCTCCATGGATTTATGTACCACACTGATTGTGGATTCAACCTCATATTTTGCCCTTGTATTAAGGGAAAGGAAAGCTGTTCCGTCAATCCGTCTAGATTTAATTAAGATGTTGTATCAATAGTGTTACGTATTGCGAGTTGATTGAAAATGTCGATGACCTTTTACTAACGGTTACGGACGCTGTTATGTACAGTTATTCCTTTATTACATGAGTTCTCAACGCGATTAAATAAATAGGTAATTGAACAGTTTTGATGAGTAAGAAATTGGGGTTCTGTTATGTCATCTAGAATTCATTCGTTTCTAGAATAACTGCCGCCCTACATCATTAAGCACTTAACTAAAATCTTGTTAGACTCGTAATTAGGAACTTTTACAACTATTGGTGGACATTGTTTCTATTAATGTGTTACTACTATAGTTGTAATGGACAAAACGTATCAGACGCCTACCTAACAGTACCTAGAGCAATTATAGAAAAATGTACACAGATATTTATCCATACTATACCTACATAGTTACATTGTTTAATGGCCCGGACATGAGTAGATTTTATTTTTTGATTTTTATAAATCAAATAGGGACTCTATTCTGTAGACTTTAGGTAAGTACTTATTTATCAAATATTATTAACTGCTATTTCATTTTGTTCCCAGATGTAATGTGCCGCCTGTCCATACGACAGGCTTTTTGGGCGCTGGCGCTGCTCTGCACGCTGGCGCCCTCGCATGCCGATGGAAACATAGGTAAGTTTTCTTCAATGTAATGCAAGAATAAATTAAATATGGAAGATGTATGTAAGACCACAATATTTTCTAGTACTGATTAGACTTATGAAATGCAGAGTTATAGGAGTACTTTGTAAAGCCTTGAGCCGTACCTACATATATGTATGTTTGGATGCCTATTTTATCGTAGTGAATACACTCTCAAAGCACTGTAAGCCCGGAATACCTTGAGCACTCAAGGATGTATCTGTACTCAGTGATCCTTTGAATCTGTAAGATTTTCTCTTCAATGTTGTAGGAAGCTTATTCTTGTTTTGATCATATTGTTCTCTTGTTTTTTGAATGGGTAGGTAGGTATAGATACTATTTATACAAATGTGCATATCTTTATATTGTTTACTAATATGCAGTAAACAATTATTTACACTGGGAGCAAAGAAAGGAGCATTTAGCGGTTTATAATCGACTTCATAAAAAAGAGGTTCTGAGTTTGATCTACATATATATATATAAGTTTGTGCACGGTTATATTTATAAATCTCCGACAAGAAAAGAAGAATTGTCCTTACTGAAAATATTAAATCTACTGCCTAAAATACTAACTTTCCGAATACTTTATATGACTGTTTATTACTATAATACTAACCTAACCTAAAACGTCTGTTGTCGGTAACTTAGTAATTTTGTCGGAGGTTCAATATTCTTTTCGCAAGTTTAGTTTTGTTATTCGAAGATCCATTTTTATAGTCGGCCACAGATCGCTGGAGATTAATTTGTTTTTCATAACCATTATTATTTTCCATTATTTAAGCGGAGTTTATAAATTAATAATTAATTTCTTGATAAATATTTCCCGATACAAGTGTTCTATTAATTGGTAACGTATCTATGTCGTATAAAAGGCAATTTAGTTAAAGCATTTTGTTGTAAAAGGGATATTCTTTTAAAGTTATGGGAGTCTATAAAATGGAAAAGACAGTCACAGCTCCGTTTCTTTGCTCCCAAGGTATACGATTGTGTATGTATTGTTTGATTCGTTTTAAACTAGAGATTTAAAAATAAATAATGTTTTATTTAGAATATTATTTATTTTCCAGGTTGCTTATTCAGTGCATCATTATGCGTGGAGGGTGCGGAATGGTGCTATGACGGTGAGCAAACTTTTAATGGAAAAACTTTTCACTACCACCTTTACTCAAACGCGGTCGAGAGAAAACAATACGGTTGATCAACACTCGGAGTTCGTAAAATGGAACATTCCCGAATTCCGAGTAATTTTATTTCAATGAAATGAACTCCATTCACCGGCCATCATTGTAGTAATTGAATCATAAATTCCATCATACAATTGATATTATTACAGAATCCGTCGTTCCCAATACTTCTAACAATAAATCTGTGTGAAGTAGGTATTTTTATTGCTAAAGTTTAAAAAATAGTATTAGTGTATTTTTGTCACAAATGGAGTATCTACATGTCGCAGCAACATAGTATCACATTAACATTCATGATGAATGAATGATTAACCGCTTGAATGCACCGATATGAGACACAATACAAAATACATTGTGTCTCACGTGGATCCACGTTTAGAGGTAGACACACGACGGGTTAAACAAGGATGCTATTAACCCGCCATTGGTGACGTATATGTCTGAGAGACCGGGTGACTCGAAAAATTCGAATAACTTTTTCGCCCGCCGTCTATTCGGGTTGCGATTTTGAGTAGCTGCCTCATTTTAAGTCCTAAACAGTCAGTGCCGCTCGTGGCTTTGCGGCGAATGCACGTTCCAGAGTTTTATTGCCAACCCGGTCCGTGAGACCGGCGTCACCAAACAAGTAAGTAAAATATTTACATGGAATTTAGCACAGAATTTAAAAAATCTTAGAATAACATCAAAACTTAGTACTATTGTTACTGTTATCTTAATTATTTTATTGAATGGTATTTGATTAATGTGATTTTTGTATAATTTTATGGATAGTATTTTTTAAAAACATAATAAATATAGGTACAGATTCCTTTATCTAGTATGAAAAATTCGTTTCAGAATGTCGCACGAAAGAGAACAGCGTCGTCTTGAGACTCTTTTACAACAAGTTTTATCCGTCGAGGAAAGCCCACAGCAATCATCGGATAGCGAAACGGAGAGCGATGTAGAAGCAGAAAATCTTGCATCAGATCGAAATACGGACAGCGAAGAGGATTTGAGTGATCGAGAATCATCAGGTAACACCTCTTCATTTTACCTTGGAAAGGACAAATTTACAAAATGGAGCAAGGAACCCCATCGTCAATCAGTCCGTACCCAAAGCAAAATTACAACGCCTTCACTTTATAGAGAATTTAGCCATGAAACTTATAGAACCTCATCTGAGGGAAAGACGTACACAACTAAACTTACCTAGACTGACGAGAGAAAGGATTTCAGAGATTTTGAAGAATGATGATGAACGCGGTTCTGTTGGTCCTTTACGTAAAGGTCGTTGCCATGAATGTGGGTGGCAAAAAAAACAGAAAAACTAAATACTTTTGCCAAAAATGCGAGAAATACCTGTGCCTTGAGCATGTAGTACCTTATTGCAGAAGCTGTTTGATCTCCCAAGAAGAGTGATTTTTGAGAATGTTTTTTTTTTTTTTTTTGTTAAAAGGATATATTTTTTTGTTTAATTTCTAAGAGTATGCAATGTCATAAGACTGACAAAGGCTGATTTAAGTACAAAAAGTTAAATACTGTTACTAATATTGAAATTTTTAAAATATATGCGTAAAACCATAGTGTTTTTTAGTGTTTTAAGTACAATTGTTTAATTCGTAATAAACAAGCTGTGATTTAATTATTCTTTGTGTTTTCTTGCCAAACATATGTTTATAATTAATTGATTAATTAAACCTAAACTAACTAAAAGTAGGATAACTAGTTAATGGTTTGCCAAATCATGGGTCTATGAGACCGGCGTCACCAATGTTGTAAGTGAAACTGACGTCACCAATGGCGGGTTAAATTACTCGGGAGACATTGGAGACATTGTAGAACATACTTTTTTAAAAAGAGTAACGAATGGAGTTTCTTGCTTGTTCTTCTCCATTCGAATCTACACTTTGGAATGAGCACCTAGCTTCACCTAGCTTCACTGACGGACTATTATTTTTTGTATTTGTTGACGTTTCAAAAGTACCAAATTATGGTTTAATTGAAATAAATGCTTTGACTTTGACTTATTTTAGCAAATTACTGTCAATCCATGTAGGTACATTTTTATGTATCGATTGAGCAGACGAATAATTTTTGTCATCAAACTTTTGTTGATATTTGTATCACATTCATCATTTTCCTCCCTTAGATTTCGCCTTCGGTAAATGTATACCGGTGTACGAGAAGGAAGTCGAAGAGGGATCGCTTTATCAGTGAGTGAATTATATTATATTATTATAGAGGTATTCTTATCACACCTGACACATGGTATATTGTCGACATCGTACTTTAGATTTTTACCTCAAGCCAAGACTTTTTGCTCAAACACATTGAGCTAACTACTAAAGTGAACACAGTCTTTAGACTTAATCAAAAGGTAAGATACAATGAAAGCTAATTGATTTGTTTTCATACTTTATTATTCATTCACCTATGTGTTCTTTATCCAATATTTTTTTTGTACATAAGCAGATCAAGAACCTCCATCATCTCTTTTTAATAATTAATATTTTGTTTAGGTATGACATGAGTTCGGAGCAGCTGCAATGGTTCGAGGGCGAGCTGCAGCGCCTGGCTTCGCGCGGCTACCGCTGGGAGCATGCATACACGCAGTGCGTGCTGCAGGCCATGCTCTACACCTTGCGACAGGAACTGTTAGTCCACATATTATTATATTGTACTTTCGCATTGCTTTGACATAAGCTAGAAAGGTCACAGTACCTCTATATTCAATTATCCTACATTGTTATTCGATTTAGGTATCGTGATGTTGATTATACTTTTTATATTACTTATTTATTTTCTAGCGATCCAGCCACTGTCAATACAAAAATATGCGACCATTTCGCTGATCCCAAACTAAGTTCTGACACCAATGATAACCCCGAAGAAAATGCTGAAGAAGTAAGTTATATTCTGCTGGTAAATCAAGAATTTATGTGGAAATAATAAAATATTGTTTTGAACCATAATTACACATTGCAGATTGACCCTGACGAGACTGCGTATGTACGCTTCACGCCTAATTCAGCGATATCAGACTCAAACTTCGCAAATGAAGTTTACAATCCGCCATTGACCCCCGATGATGACCCAACTCCATACATATCTCAAGGTAGAAACATACCATTGTTCATTGAGATGATGATAGAGTATGAACCGTTATTGTTTAGTCAGTCAGATAATAAAAAAATCATATATAGGTATTTCCTATTTATGAAAAGTCGTAAAACAAATTCAACGCTACGTCATCATTGCTAAAAGATAAATTGATCAAAAATATCAAATGAACACAAAAAATTAAGAAAAATTGTCGTGCTTAACATTTAAATGTGTAAACTGCCAGAAGGACTTTATGGTCCTTTCCTTATAGTTAGACATTTTTTTATAAAAATGTCATCATTCCTGTATTTTTAAGAGTGAACATGAAATGATTTTTCTATTACAGTAGATGACGACCAAACCGAAGACGAAACAGCGAGTGACAAATTACGTGATCTCATGATAATGGGTGGTGGTGAGGAATCCCCTATTATTCTGCCGTTTTCTGGATTCAGAGAGCGAATTTTAGCTGAAAAGCAGACAAAAGCCATTGACAATGTAAACCCTGTGCCTAGGGTAATGATCGATAAAACGAAAAAATCTTTCGAAAACGAACCCAACATGGCGTACGCTGATGAAGAACGAGTCGGAGCCCATTTCCGCAAGTACAAGACTAAAGCGCCACCTTTTACTGCTGAATTTATCACGAGCAACCGATTTTCTCCTCTAGACGAAGAGATCCGTTCCAACGCTCGGAAGAATTATAAACAAAGTTTTACTGAAAAACATTTCCCCTTCGAATACGAGAATCCAGGAGACATACCGGAACCGAGAGTCTACATTGATGAAGACGGAATCGATGAAATCCCCATTGATGCAGGTAGTGGCGAACTAGACCCTTATCATATCAAAGGTACACTATACATACAGATATATGTTTGTGAGTTTTAGTTTACTTCGAATTGTGATTCAAGTAATATTTTTGTATATTATAATTTATTGTTTTACAGAAAATTCGCCACCATTGGACGCTGAACATACAAAACAAATGCAACAATATTTTATGAATTACTGGCGTGATGTGTTTGATTCTAAACAAAAGCCAGATGGAGCCGTTTATGCGGAGGGAGGGCCGCTTCGAGCGGAGGAGTTACAAGGTGAGTAATGTATGGCGTGACTTGATGCGTTAGCGGTAACTCCGTGTAAAGACGGCAATTTGTGTTGCTTTCTGCTTCGTTTGCATTGTAGGTACAACAGCAACATTATCTCACTCATTCTGTTAAACTACTAACGTAATAACATTTTAATTAATTTCTCTAATTTTTACTTCTCAGTTAACCAATGTGTTGTTTTAGTTCTTGGCTATTTTTTTCACATAAGCCCCTTGATATCAAGAACCCAACCCATAAATGAGATTTAAAGCAGACCGAGGGTGTTACATAAATACCGACGATGTTTCAGGTGAAAGTCCAAAATTTTATCCCGAGGATATTCAAGATTTGCTTGATAACGAATGGGGCTTTAAGCGTAGGGAAAGAGACGATGTTAAAAAGCCTGGGCCACGCCTGGACGCAAAAACATTAAAGATTTTATACCACAATAAATCAGTGACAGGTTAGTGTCACGGCGGCCTGAGATAATTGTTTTAGATCCTATCGATGTTCCCTCGAATAGAGTCAGGCTACAGGCTAGAGCTGCATCAGAATTAAAGTATATTTTTTACTACTCGCACTTCCACGTCTTGTATAGAACACCGCACTAAGTGTTTCCCAGCACATTTTGATTTATTGTGAGACACGACGCATGGGCTGCAATAGTCCTTTGTATGAACTGAACGTGTTGCCTCTGTATGACGATGGTATTTAAGTGTTTTATGGCGTTTCCTTGTAATCTTCGATGTTTTAATTTTGGGCTGCACGTTGTGGGCCCTTCCTATAATTTATGTTGTCATAATATCAGCTTCAATGTCTATATAAGTATGTACATGTTCCATGTCAAATCTATGTGTTAACAAGTTTTACCTATTAATTTTGGTTTAATTTTATGTGCTTCATTATTTCTTCTAACTCGATCACGCATGTATTATTATCATCGAAATGCAATCGTGATTGATTTAGAGATTAATGACGAATGTGAGCTCCTTTATTGTTTGTTATTTTATCCCAGCGTTTGTAATAATCTTTCTTGATCTGCTATTTGTACTCCTTTGGCAATTATATTAATTTAAAACTGCTCTTCATCAAGACAATTGCATGCTTCCAGTTCCATGTCGGTGTTGTCAAATCCTTCGATATATCAATATTTTTCCTCTTTACATCATTCGTATGATTTTATTTTTCAGCTCATGGAGTACAGCCTGCTGAAAAAGAAGAAAAGCCTGGGGACCATGATCATAACGACTTTGATTACGACCCTTCATACGCTTTTGTTTTATTCAAGAATAGGTAAGGCTTGAAATTATAAAGTGTATCAAAAACAAAATATAAATCATTAAAGTTACCTTCAAATTCATTTTGTGATCGGTTTGCCTCAGGTTCCTAACTGACTGGGAGAAAGGCATCTCATTTATTTCAAGACTAGAAGAAATGCTTGGTTTAGAGAAAAACACTTTTACAAATCCTCGGTAATTTTGATTGAATCTTCTTTAAAATATTCAATTTTAAATTTAAACTTTTTAATAATTTTCTACTTATATTTTATTTAAATGTTGATAAATATATATACATTTTTTTTTAAAAAAAAACGTTGCCCCACACTAGGATTTTCTCCTGTGTCGTGGGTGCGTTTTACAAACATACAAGTTCACATACACACATATATATATATTAAGGAAGATAACTAATTGTTTTAGGGTTGACACTAGTGAAGTGACGTTTAAAGTTGAGAAAAATAATAAAGGGTATGATGCTGAGGACGTAGCGCGCAACGTTGGTAAGACGAAGTAATAAAAAACATAATACAGTCAAAATTTATTATTGATTCAAATAATTTAACACGAATAATAATTTCAGATGTAATTAAAGAAGATTTACGTCGTGAGACTGGCGCTCAGATACTTGCAACTGGTGTAGGAGACCGAGTAAGTGGTGATGAGAGACCAAGCCAAAAATTTACCGTCATGTCATTGTGTAGTGTTGTTTTATGGGCAATGCCTACATTATCACATCTACAATTTCAGAGCAAACGTCCCGTGAGCCACCACATAGATGCACCAGAACCTATCCTAGGCTTGGACATGCCAGTGCTGTCAGCTCTGATTGGAAGCCTGCTGGTGCTAATAGTAGGAGCCGTAGTCTTTGCTGTGCTATTAAAACGTGACATGAGTGCTAAGAGGAAGATGAACGGATTGTCATCCGCAGCAGAGATTGATGCTGAAGCTACGCGGGATTATCAGGTAAGAAAGATTAAACTAGTTTAATAAGATCAAAAAGACGTTTTTGTTGTAGAACGGCCTTTTCCGCTTCATGTCCATATTTTTTTCGGTTACATCAAACTCCACTGAAGTCGAAACTCTTCCACTGGTTTTTAAATTGAAAAAGTCGATGTAATGATAATGATTGGAATTTGTACATCAACTGGATACTATACATTTTTATGGATTTTACTTTACAGGAATTATGCCGTGCTCGTATGTCGGGCAAGTGGACAGGTCAGCAGGCGGCAGCCGCTCCTCCGCACTCTACGGAGCCACCGCAGCGAATCACCTCGCTCTCCAAGGAACCTGAGGGCAATTCACCCTCCACTCGGTCCAGCACCTCGTCTTGGTAAGAATTTTTCTAATAAGTTTCGAAATAAATTCCATTATCGATCACTTGAAGGTAATGTGCAAGTTACATACAATTTTAACTTTATGGAATGGATATTCTGTTGTATTACAGGAGCGAAGAACCGGCGCTTACCAACATGGACATCTCTACAGGACACATTGTGCTAGTGAGTTATTCTTACATCGATGAATAACTACCTACCCAAGAATATATCATATTGATTGTAATCGTTGTCTTTGACAGGCTTATATGGAGGACCACCTGCGTAATAAGGATCGTCTCGAGCAAGAATGGCGAGCCCTGTGTGCTTACGAAGCAGAACCCTGTGCTACCACTGCTGCCCTGAAACCAGAGAACACTGGCAAGAACCGTTACGCTGATGTACTGCCCTACGACCATTCCAGGGTTACTTTGAACACGCTCTCGAACCACCTCGGCTCCGATTACATCAATGCTTCTACTATTGTAAGTCTCTTGTTTTTTTATTTGGCAAGTTTACCAAGTTTTACGAAGTTTTCTTTTAAACTGTCAAACACCAAGCGGTCACCGGTGACCGCAACCTATTGTTCTATAATTGTGTCTACAAAACCGGTACTCGACGAGTTAAATAGTTTTTTGAAAAAAAATCCAAGCAGAAATAATTGTGTGGAACGCTTTAGTTTATTTTAGAAACTTGTACTTTACTCTACCAGCGACCACGAACGTTGCAAAGTACACGATGCAATACGATTAAATTAGTGTAAAAATTAATAAGTACCTACTTAATTAAAACAGTTGGTAGAAATCTCTTTTTTCTGTGTGGTAATCTAAGATGTTACTAATACTGTTGTCTTTAATTACCTACTTTCATAGTTCCTTTCATCAAGCGAGTTTTACTGTTATCCCCCTGTTAAACTAACAGTGCTTTAGCCTTGCTACTGTTCATTCCATTTACTTTCAAATACGTCATTTATATTTATATTATATTATAACTTACGTGAGACAAACTAAATTAATTATTATGTTTTTAAATCTAGTCGAGTCCTTTGTCAAATAATTACGCGAGTAAGCCGAAAAACATAATAACTAGTTACATAATAAGTAGTTACTACATAATAACTAGTAGCCATTTATTTTAATGATACATTTTAAATTTTGTTTTGCAGACGGATCACGATCCTCGCAACCCGGCGTATATCGCAGCAGCTGGTCCGATGGCCCACACGGCTCCTGACTTCTGGCAGATGGTGTGGGAGCAAGGCAGCGTCGTCATGGTCATGCTCACACGACTCACTGAGAACGGACAACAACTCTGCCACCGCTACTGGCCTGAAGAAGGATCTGAGCTTTACCATATTTATGAGGTAAGTATTTCAATGACTTACCTTATTTTAAAGAAAGTCTCGATAGCCTTCGTCTATTTAAACCCACAATGAAATCTAAAGAAATACACAATTTTCTAAGATTGTTGATTTTTTTTTTAAACACTGCCCCACACTAGCATTTTCTCCTGTGTCATGGGTGCAAACATACAAGTTCACATACACATCACAACAAGACCCGGAACAACAATCTATGGATCACACAAAGATTTGTTCCGTGAGGGAATCGAACCCGCGACACGTTGCGCAGCAGCCAGTTGTCCAGCCACCGCACCAACCGTGCAGTCAATTGAAAAGTTTTGGTGGTGATTAAAAGTACCTAATGTTGAATATTTCAGGTGCACCTGGTGAGCGAACACATATGGTGTGATGATTACCTGGTACGAAGCTTTTATTTGAAGAACCAGCGCACCGGCGAAACCCGCACTGTCACACAGTTCCACTTCCTCTCCTGGCCTGAGAACGGCGTCCCATCATCTACTAAGGCTCTTTTGGAATTCAGGAGGTAAATATGTGTTTTCTAGATTTAGTTTATTGAAAGAAAGATTGAATAAATACAATTCAACGTCCTTGTATGTACAGGTATAAAACTTTATGAAGTTTTAATACCAGCTCTAATTCAAATACTGGCCAGTGTAGCTAAAAACTCATACTTACCTACTGCCATATATGTGTAATAAGAAAACGATAAATTTTAATTTTTTTTATGACATTTCGAAGACCTACATTTTAATTAATATGCCCATTTCCATTATTGTGTAGTGAATATTTTATTTCTTACTAAATAAATCATTACTTATATTATAATCATGTTTATATTTTTGTAATACACACAAATACTAGCCATTATTAAAAAAAATGCAATGCCATTTTACTTGAATAAAAAATAAAACAACATTATTTTTATAGTTTATGGTACTTAAACATTTGATGGCCAGAACAGATTAAAGACAAATAGATATTTATTACAATTCTTGTTCTGAACTAGATAAAAGAAATAACTACATTAATCTAGTTATTTAATTTGATTCATAAAAGTGAAATAAATATATAATTGAATCACCTGGCCATTATTGCTGAGAAAATTATTCAAAAGCCATTTTATATGCGGTAAATAATATTCTTTTTGGTTTTTTTTATGGTTTATGGCATTATGAATTATTGATAAGCAGAATTAATTAAATAATATAAAATTAAATAATTACACCCAATGATTAACTACCATAATTATAATATTATACGTTCAATAATTTTATAACCGAAAATAAAATAATATTTTTATAAAACACTATTCAACTGCAAAAAGAAATGTTTCGATGCCATTTATTATTATCGTAATAAAAATACAAATTCAAAATCTGTGTAAAAATAAACCCCTACATTTCCCAAAAAAGAAAAAGGTGTAATAAATACTTATTCATTCTTTTTATTTTTGTTTCTAGAAAGGTAAACAAGTCGTACAGAGGAAGATCCTGCCCAATCGTGGTCCACTGCAGGTAAATATATTTCTATTACCAGATACATAAACTTAACTAATTTTGACTATTATTTTTATTGCCACTATTTTGTTTGTGGTCTAAATATGACACACGTAAGTAATTTAAAGTCATGAAAGGACAAATTATAATATTCTTGTGGTAGATTAAAATATTTGTAGGTACATATTTCTTTTTAGATAGTCATCAAAAGCTTTCGACGCTGGGACGCACGTAGCAAGTTCCTATATTCCTAAACTTCAATTTTATTCGTTTTTCTATGTATTTTTTCTTTTATTAACAAAACATAATATATAGGTACATCTACGTACTAAATAGATGCTTACGTAATTATTTTCATAATAATTATAAAGTTATCATCCCTGGTTCTATTTGACTACGCAGCAGTCGTAGCTGCTGCTACGAAGGTTGATACCACAGAAATATTAAAATTATTATATCTGTGGTTGATACAGTTGTTTCTACGACAACTAGAATAAACAATATGAATTTAATTTTTTTATCAATGATGATTTTCAACGATTAGTTCTTATTTTATTCTTTGTTTGAATACCAATGACGTAGAAAACTATGTATTATTGATGTACCTCTAAATAATCATAACCGATAGGCTTTAGGTAGGTATATATTTGTATCATAATGTAGAGGTATACAGGAAAAGATAAAATCAAGAGATGATATATCATAAATTAGACCGATTTGTGATCAAGATCGTAAAGTTGGATACTAGATAATTTAATTAAACATAACATTATATCACATATTTTACCCGAGCGTACGGCGCGTCGCGTTCCATGCGCGCCTAAAAGAGCCATCAGACCATCACAGATGGGGCCAATAGGGCTGATGCAGATTCGGAGTCGCGGAGAACCTAACGGGTTACCAGGGCTCCGGCTCGAAGCGCAGGAGAATAAACGGGGTGGTTTTTAGTCAGTAAGAGCCTGACACTCCCTCCCGCCTCACCCAGGCGAGAACTGTCATACGATGACTTTCCCCCTTAAAAAAAAAATTAGGTACGTAGGTATTTTGCTCTCTAAACTAATCAGAGCATATTGTATGTTTGCTCTCTTTAAATGAAGCAAAATGCTCAAACAGCTCTACGTTTCGAAACGAATCGACCAGCGTGACCGGAGTGATATAATACGTGTGAGTTAGGTTACCGAATGCCCAATCCCTCCCTCCCCCATCACCCAAATCCTCTCATTCCTCAAATCTCTAACACTCACAGTAATTAGGTACTGAATTGAGAAATGTAACGTTACAGTGACGGCGCGGGACGTTCAGGCACATACTGCCTCATCGACATGGTACTCAACCGCATGGCTAAAGGCGCCAAGGAGATCGACATCGCGGCCACACTGGAACACATCCGCGACCAGCGCACGCGCACTGTCGCTACCAAGCAGCAGTTCGAGTTCGTACTGATGGCCGTCGCTGAGGAGGTACATACGTAAACCTATATGTATACGTACTAACATAAATTATTATTGTACAACAAAACTATGTAACTGGAGAATTGTGAACTTGATTGAAAAAGAGTAACCTATGGAGTTTCTTGCTCGTTCTTCTCCATAGGAATCTACACTTTGGAATGAGCAAATAGCTTCACTTGTTAATTTTCTTTATTGACGTTCAAAAGTGCCTCTATGGCCTAATTGAAATAAATTATTTTGACTTTGACTTTGACTTTATTATTGTGCAACTGAAAAATTTGTTTGAATGCGGTAATCCCCGAAACTACCGGTTCCAATCTGAAAATTTTCTTTGTGTTTGTGGATAGTCCATTTAACGAAGAATGCTTTAAGCTATACAAATCAGCACGTTATGATTAATATAAGTCTAGCAGCAGGTGTAACCGCAAGAGAGTTGTAAATGATGTCAATATAAAACCACAAATAGTTCCTGCCTCCCTTCTCCCATCTGTAAAAGTTAAATTGTTTAACTTATTGAATGAGAATGAATATCATTTTTAAACGTTTCAGGTCCACGCAATCCTAAAGGCTTTACCGGCGCATCTACAGCAGTTGCAAGAGAAAAAAGACAAGGAAAAGGAAAAAGACAAAGATGGCAGTGACAAAGAAAAGGAGAAGCCTAACTAACCTACGCACCCGACACGAACATACGAACACGTTACGTTACTTATTTAACAATATTATTAAGTATTTACTATCATTGTGGAATTGATGTATTTCTGTCAACTCCAAGTTGAAAATTTCGCTAGGCAAAACGAAATTTTGAACTAGGTTACATTTATTAGTGTCATTAAAGTCTTCATTCAGATTAACTCGGTTGCTATATTAAACCCCAAACAAGTTTTCAGGACTGCATTACGTATTGTTTCCCCACAATTTGAAATTCTTAACTTCGGATTGTCTACGCTTTGTGGCAATGTACTGGCGCAATGCAAAACTAACGGCAAGGATCAAAACTGACTGTGTCTACTTGAAGCGTGCCGCTAACTATAGCATTTATTTTTTAAAAACGTTTTTAATATTTCCATAAGGTAACACACGAGCCTACTTATTATATTAAGAATATAAAGAACACAAACTATTAAGTTTATTTATTGTTAGCTTTTTATTGGAGCGTTGGAGACATGGTCAATTGTTAGAGTATCAATACTAGTGGGTCTCAACTGTGTTGCGAATCCTTCATTTTATTTATTTCTGTTTAGTTTATTATGTTACGTATTACAGTGGCTGAAATTTCATGGTCAGCTGCTATTATGTTCTAGCTACGACTTTAGTTTTACTTTGTGTTTTATTTGTCAAGCATGAAATGCGATCCTGTGAATTGATCTAGTCAGTTACAATCTTACTTAAGCCCAAAATTATATTTAGTCGGTTTATATTTAATGAATGTTTATTTAACTTGTACTTGGTTATTATAACAATGGTCAGATGCCAACGAATATTAAATCTGTAGCGTTATTTTAAATGAATTTTGTTAAAGTAGTTATTTTCAAATATTGTTAACAATATTGTAAGTGAGTGGCGCTGGCCATTGTTACAATAAGTATCTATCGTAATGGATTGCTTTCTGTTTCGTCACTGTGTCTAAAAGTTTTAAGTAATATGTAAGTACATTGTTATATGTATAGATCTACATTTTGCAACTTATATACTAGTACTTATGACAACAAAGATAAGATCTATCTTTCACAATCATATCCTGAATCAACGGAATACCTGAGAATATAATCAGATTTAAAAAATAAAAATATTTACAGAGTGTAGCAGAAACCATATTCATACTACTACGTGTTATGTACGAGATTTATATAAGAATATATTTATTGCATATTAAGTGGAAAATGTAAAAAAAAATTAAAAACCTACCCACGAAATTATGGATGTAGTATTAGATATAAGAGAAAATATATTTAACCGTATTTCTGTATGAAATTATATGTAGTTTTTATGTGAATGATTGAATAATGGATTTTGATTAAATTGTTTTAGGGAATAAGATAGAAGTATCCTAATTTCCCAAACTAAATATCCTTTCTTCTTGAGTCTGTCACTTAGCAACTACTACCTAATTTACTACATAGTGAAAACCATATACCATTTAAAGGTGAAATAAGATGAAAATTTTTAGACACCCTGTGAAACTCTTTAACGTCTTATGTGTTGGGCAGTTTGTCATCAAGACGACTGAATAGGTTAATATCAAGGGAGGGCTGAAAGTATCGAATGTTTAATATGTAGGTAGTGCACAACTGTGCAGAACAATTTTTTGAAGTGTCATGCCTAGACTGGAAAAAAATTGACAAGTACATATTTGTAGTTAGTTAGGTAGTGTTCGTCTAGGTAACGTATCTTATCTACCTGTACGGTAAAATCAAAGTTTATGAATATTTAATGACTCGGTAGCTTTGTTTGTTATCATTATTAATACGGCTAATAATATCGATAATAACAATTAATAAAGACCTATATTGATAGAGAACTTGATAAGTACGTGATGCTCGCAGGCGAATGTACGCAGAGATAACAAAGAATTGATTTTATCAGGATCATTTGAATACACATTATCAGTTTACGTAACTGTTAGGTTATCAGATTCACAGCTCAGATACCTATCGTTACGTAGGATATTATTTTAATCATTTACATATTCAAGTACATCCAAGATTGTGTTGGATTTTCCATTGCGATTTAGGTATCTACCTACATGTCCTACATACATACCTACAAATACAAGAAATGTAGGGCGGTGTGGGGGCAAGGCCCAAGGGTCAATTGTCTAAAAACATAATGCATATCATGGACAATTTGGAACATTTTGCTCTGTGTATCTTGTTGGTGGATTTTTCAATTTTGTTGAATGTCGGAAGGCAATATGAACCCGTCTAGTACTTAGTAGGTATTAGGTAACTAACTGACTAAGCGTACCTATCTACCGTAGGTATATCGCAAGCGCGACAACTGCATATGTATTTTAGCTTCGACTTCCAGGTGTTTCGCTGCTTAAATGAAAATGGTAAGTTAACGGTAAAAAAACCTGCATATTATGTAAGTAACTCAAAATTCTTTATTTTTTTGTTTCACCCATAACTTCATTTCATAGGATTGTCTAGCTAGTCAGATTTATTACGTTACATACATAGATTGAGTTTTTTAAATATTTACGTAAATAAATAAGTACTTAAATTAAACCTAGTCCTAAACTAAGTAAAGGTTAAGTTCATCAATTAGAGGATAAACAGAATTGAATTGAATTTGTTATGTAAACACTAGCCCTCTTATTAATAAACATAGAATAGAGTAAGAATAACTTTACTCCATGGTATAAACTCAGAATAGTCAAATTCGGTATTAATAAACAAGGAGTAACGTCGGAGTAAGCTATTCCAACGTTAGTCTGAGAATAAAAGTTAGTCCATGGTGCCACATGGTTTAGCGACGGTGTAAGCTTGGATTAGTGTCATTTTGACATTTTGTTGATAGATATTTTTTTCTTCTTTATTGACAACCGAGTTTCCATCGAGTTTCCAATATGGTTTTGATGACCAGTATCGAGTGGTGTACGGCATTATCAGATAAAACCTATTTTATTATAACCTATTTCCTTGCGTTGCGGCATTACTAAGTATATAGGTACGAGACTAGCTATACCCCACGACTTCGTCCGCGTATTATAATGCCTTCTGGCAGAATGTGGATTTTTGAATAAGTCTTTTCCGAGGTTAATTCTAATGCTTTTTAACAATTATTATCAAAATCGATTCAGTACTTGTTATATTTATTGTAAAATGAATTCTTTTTTTCAAAAAATAAGCATTCGCACATGGGTTTTATCCGTCATTCCAGTGAGTTATCAGTGATAAAAATTATTTAATGTCCTTTACCGGGTTGCAAACCACTGTTGTACCGAATTTCAATAAAATAGGTTCAATGATTTAAAAGATAGAGTTCCGGAATATTAACACATAGGACCTTTGCCGTGGAATTTCCGGGACAGAACTATTATCTTTCTTATTTATAATATTAGTGTAGATTATAAGTTACTAGCTATTGTCCACTGTTTCGCTCGTGCTCATTTATGGAGTTAGGGGAAGATTTGTATAAATATGAAGCCACTAAGTTTTTTGTTAGTTACAAATAGTCAAAATACCAATTTTAATCTTTCTAACTTGAAAATTGTGAAACGCTTTGTATAAACCCACCATTTTAGGGAAGCGGGGGGCTAGAAAGAGATAGAAAGTAGCCCATCTCACTTTCTATCCCTTCAAGTACCTATCTCAACTTAAAAACACGTCAATTCGCTTTGTTTTGTCACGAAAGACGGACAAACAAACAGACACACACACTTTCTCATTAGTATGGATTCGATTTTTATGTAAAAACGCAACAACTTTTTTACACAAAAAGTTATACTATCATTATAAAACGTGGTAAAATGTATAGATATTATTTTTATTCAATATCTGAGTTATTGAGAGAATTAGAGTTGATGAGATTAGAGATGATTACAGAAGTGTGTATGACTAGCTTTTCTGCCAGCGGCTTCGCCCGCGTTCCCGTGGAATAAAAAGCCTTCGTATTATTTTAGAGTTCCAGACCATAATAGACCCCTGTATCAATTTTCATCTCGATCCCTTCAACCGTTTTGATGTGAAGAAGTCACAAACATACAAACTTTCGTATTTATAAAATATTAGTAAGATAGAGGAACGTGAAGAAGAAGAGAAATCAAAATACCGATTTACTGCAGTTTTTATTATTGACATGGTAAAAATAATCTAGCTGGTGACGCCAGAGGTGGCTTTATACCACCCCTGTGAAGTTATGGAACGGTTTGTTTATGGTACTTACACTATACAGACGTCCTTAGAGTATTTAGACGTCAGCAAGTCAACCTACGTTTTTCTGTGAAGCACCCATGAAACTCCGATATTATAAGTCAAAATTTTAATTCGATTCCAGATTTGACAATAGCTACTGTCATTTTGTGAAATAATGATACCACATATAATAGTGTAGTTATGAACACAAAAATCGATAAACAATCAGTGTGTGTGTTTTATAATAAATGTTCCAGAAAGTGACAGGATAGCGATAGCGATGACGGCGACAATTTATAAAATAACTTGTTACCATAATACATTTATCTGCTTTATTTGTCATGTTCCTTCATGATTACATTTTTTTATTTATTTCACACACAATTATAAAAGAAAAGTCTCAGATCGTTAATTATTTGTCAAAACTAAATTATCGGCTCAGAAATATTTAATTTCCTGATATACTTAGTTTACGAGAGTAAAATTATAAACGAGGAGAATCGATCCAGAAATATTGCATTTCCATATCGAATAATTTCGCAACGTCACTATTTAGTACTTGTCATTACGTTGCAACACTGAAATTGTCAAATCTGGAATCGAATTAAAATTCCGGGTATAGATTTGTTTTGACTTTCCATGAAAACATTGACACATGGAATAAGTCTCCCCCTCAAGGTTTCCCTATACTTATTACTCTTTGGGATAGGTTGAACTGATTGTTAATACATTTCAATTTTATTGTAAAACATGAGCAAGCAATCTATTATTTTTGGGCAAACATCGAATACACATTAGGTAATCAAAATGCTATAAATTCAGGCGAACAACGTAACAATATGGTCGGCAGACGTGCCTGATTGCATACCGCTGCCCACTTTCCATAATCCATGATAAAATGGGCAATATTTTTGGTATGTCGTGCCGTCAACGTGAAATAGATTGATCCCTTCACTGCGATTTATTTCACTATTATTACATGTTTCTATAGTTTTTGGCAAATGCAAATGTAGAAGGAATGTAACTCTAATTAGTTACCTTTGGGACTTTCGTAAAACCGTAATAATAAGAATAGTTCGCTCATTGTTGTTGATTGAAATATTGTTTTCTTTTTAGCTCGACATTGTGTATTGTAAAAAAACTATAACAAATCAAAAATGTCATGGCGGAGTAATAGTTGAACATACAAACAAAATAAAAACAATCATTTGAACATAGAACCCCCTCCTTTTGAAGTCGGTAATTAAAAGGTGTTGGACGATCTGACCTTTCTTGTGTGGGTGGACAACCATCAAAGGTCCTCCCGTCCTGGATTAGGCAATAGGTACCTGCTTACAAGAAAGCGAACTGTTCTAACTGCAACTCTTGCGCCATACCGCGCCTAGCGACCTACCCGCGACTGTGGCATGTTGGCTATCTGACCTAAGGCTCGACATCTCAAACTATAAGACGTTGATGGACCTAAGGTATAATATGCATTCGTGTCGTATATTTATGACTGAAAATATTATTGTCAAAAAGATTGTTTGCCTAGCATTTTGAGTCAAAATGGGTGAGATGTTATGCAAAACTCGTTAGTTGCATTGTACTCGACATAATGGAGTATATCGTGACACAGTTGCATAATTATTATAATATTAAATGAAACACGGCCAAGTGTGCCTGGTCGGCCATTCAAAGGCGTGGTAGTTTAATTATTCATTTTCTTTCATCAAAATAGTTGTTTATTCAATTATTCAATTTGTAAGTATGAGCGAGCCATGCCACGAATAGGCCGGCTCAACCTGAGTTATACGGCGTCATAAAAAATCGGCATGAAATAACGACGTGTTTCGTCGAGGGAGTGAAGTTACTGATGATCTAATGACCCCCTCCCCAATGTCCGGCCAATTCCCGCAATCCTCAAATTCCTAACCCCCAAAAGCAAAAGAAGGATATTTGATTTCCAAAAAACGAAAAGTGTTCATTGCCTGTAACTAAAAACAAAAAGTGCCTTCGTTTGCGCAGTGCCTTAGCTGATATAGATCTCCGAAACGACAGCTTCTACCAGAAAGGAAATGCTAATTTTCGCCACCTCGTGATTATCTTCGTGGCTATTGTACGGCTTATTAGTTTACAAAACAAATGGAGCGACGTCGTACAAGGTTGCACTTAGAACTCAAAGGAGACTGAGTCAAATTCACGCAGAACCAACAGCAAGGGTTTCAATGATCGGTTTTTAGGCTTGAAATATACAGATAGACGATTATTTTTAGAATCATTCCGGTATATTAACTTCTGGGCGATATATAGTGTCTACATATAACGTATGACACTGAATCAGAAAATCCTGTTTACAATCAATATTCGACGCCGACGAAGTAGCGGGCAGACCCTCGTTTTTAAATATAAAAACATTTACATATTTTATTTTTAACTACCGCTATATGTGGTAATAGGTAATAAGAGTTAGATATGGTTAGTGTTGGACGTGGGTTTTTTTTTGTACGATTTTTGCCTGTTTTCTTTTTTAACGACCATCCAATAACTTCTCTCGCCCGGGCGAGGCAAGAGAGAGTGTCAGACTTGCTGACTAAAAACCACCCCGCTCCTTCTCCTGCACTTCGAGCCGGTGCCCTGGCAACCCGTTAAGACCTCCGCGGCTCAACATCGAGTACCTACTGACCTATTTATTGTGATACTTTTTGATTTTATTTTATTTTAATACAAATCTGTCTATCTCTTTAATGTAATACTTTTAAATGAGCAATTCATGTATACACATGCATACAAGCTGACTTGTAACTCGACTTATTCCTCTCGGGAGGTGATAAGTGAGCCGCTATTTTTTGAGATATTCAACATTTTTGGTTTTGGCCAATAAATCCCGAACTATTTTTTTTTAATATTTGATGGGGCGGCGTTTGACCAATATTTCGCCTGGTGGTAAGCGATGATGCGGTTTACGATGGAGCACGTCGTCCCATAAGCAACCTATTCACTCGGGCCTTGAAAACTCATAGGTTCATACCCTTCAGGAAATACAGACTCTGGCAAAGAATTCCACTCTTTAGCAGTACGCACAAGTGTGGGCGGAACATCTACCATGAATCGGTGACGCTTCGTCGATTGTCTTGTGGTACGATGATGGAAAGGACTAGGGGGAATCAAGTTGTGCAATTTCCCCGCACACTCACCGAAATAAATAAATAAATAAATAAATAAATCTTTATTGTCGCAAAAGTTATACAGTTCTTTGGGTGACTTATATCTAGACACAGGTTTAAAATGTAATGTGCTATAGGTACTGATGCTGTCTCCCAAACTAAGCGAAAGCTTGTATTTTGGGTGGCAGTGTTCAGTCATTTAATGAGGCTCGATAAAAAAAAATATATATAAAAAAAGAAGTTGAGAAAAAAAATAATGTTTGGTTTATTGCTAACTAGGGATTAATAAATGTGACTAGTTAATATAAAATAAAGGTGTGCATTTCGAAATGTTTACTCTTCAGTGAAACAATTGACACATTATGCCCAATGATATTATAGGTAAGTAAAAAGGCGTAGATAGGCTAAAAGGGCTCAGAAAGTAGCACTTAAAATGTGGCTGATTAGATTCATTTACCTCAAAGTTGCATTGTGCTGTCAACATATTCATGCGTACTGTTTTTTAAGATCAAATGTTATTTAGGTAACCTAAATACGCTTTTTTACTTATAAAATAAATATCATTGAGTTTGCCCTGTTGCTATATATGACATTACAAATAATATAAATAACCATTGTTCTTAGACCTTATGCAAACCGATGGAGCAAGACAATGGTTGGTTATGGACCAGAAGACTCACACTTTGTGGTGGAGCTGACATACAACTATGGTATCACACACTATGAACAAGGAAATGACTTCATCGGTCTCACAGTCCAGTCCAGCGAGAGTCTCAAGAGAGCTGCAGCTAACAACTGGCCAGTGAAGGAGCAGAATGGTCAAAAGTACCTTGAAGCTCCCGGTGGCTACAAGTTCTTTATTGTTGACAAACCCCAGCCTGCTGACAGAGGTAAGTTTATTGAGACAGCAAATTAAAGTCAAAGTCAAAATCATTTATTTCTATTAGACCAAGAAGGAACTTTTGAACATCAACAAAAAAAAAATTAAAGTGAAGCTATTTGCTTTTAAATACTAGGATAACATTATTTACATGCCTACTATTCTTTGACTAGGTAAAATAATATATCATATGGTCTATAGTTTGTACCATATACCACAACACATACTAAACCTGTGTTGTACCGTAGTTAGAGCTATATGTTGAATGAGTATGTCTTACAAGCCGGTTTCACCCACTCTGTTTTTCGCCTGTTGATTGTAGTGTGATGTTTTATAGCCTGTAGAAAGCTATAGAATATAATTAATTGAGGAAGGTCTCCATAAATTTACTTTCCAACACAAAAATAATTTTTCAAATCAGACCAGGAGTTCCGAACATTAGCATGTTCAAACAAACAAACTCTTCAGTTTTACATAATAATATATATAAATGTATAAGATAAGATTGAAATGAAATGATTTTGTTTTTCGTTGCCAATGGATAAGAAATAACGTTTTACACATCAATATTTAAATTAAACTAGATGAGACCAACATATTTTACAATGTGTATTTGTATTGAGATCTGCTTAAAATGTACACCTTAAATAATTAAAGTGTGTAAAGGTTTGTTTAGAATTTCTAAATATATATGGTATAGGTATAAATTGCAAACAACTGAAATAGCGCTTCAGATTAGGGTTGCCACCCGTACTTTATAATAAAGTATTGTACGTTATTTCAGGTAATTGTACTGTATACTTTATAAGAATAATAAATTACACAAAAATACTTTATTTTTGCAAACTTCATTTCTATTAAAGTCGTAAGTATTTTTCGGTAAACTTATCGATCCCATATCGATATTTATCGAATTATGTTGAATCGATTTCGCCACTCGCCAGCGCCACTTAGACAATTTCTAGTAAAAATGCAATTGTTTAGTAAAGATACTAATTTAATACAAACTGCAAAAAGCAATAAAAATATATTTTTAAATATAATATTAAATAAAAATAAATTGTACTTTATTTTTGTACTATGTACTTTTTTTTCTTACCTATAATCGTCAATGTACTTTAAATACCAAAATAAAAGGTGGCAACCCTACT